AAGTCTGCCCGACATTTGACACATTGCTCCAGAGGAGACGCCAAGTACACTTGCACAATGACTAAAAAGTCCGCCATCATAGTCGGTATGTACATTCTGAACATAGCTTCTGCAGCCTGCTTTCGACGGTTCCATTTTGTCTGATCAATGTATCACAGGCGCGGGTGTAGGAGGAATTTCAACCGCCGCGCGACTTGCCCGGGAGGGATTCAAGGTGACTGTGCTGGAGAAAAATGACTTTGTTGGAGGGAGATGCTCTATTATACAACGAGAAGGATACGTAAGTTCTCGGACTGAAAATTTTCACCACTAAACTAAAGCAATATAGCGCTTCGATCAAGGGCCATCTCTTCTCCTAATGCGTGAATTCTTCAGCAGAACCTTCCAAGATCTTGGAACATCCCTCAGTTCGGAAGGTGTAGAGCTACTGAAATGCGAACCCAACTACTGCATTTGGTTTCCAGATAATGATATTGTGGAGCTATCTTCTGATATATCACGGTTGAAAGAGGAGGTCATCCGACACGAGGGTATAACGGGCCTCTCGAAGCTTTTAGACTTCCTGAAGGAGACTGGTCAATACTACAATTTGACCTTGGACTATATAATGAACAGAGACTTTCCACACTTCCTCAGTCTTCTGCAGCCCAATGTCCTGAGGGCGCTCGTCGCTATGCGCCCATGGACTACCATGGCTGGTATCGTTGAACAGTACTTTACTAGTACCAAGATGAGGCAAGCATGGACATTTGCTTCTATGTACATGGGTATGAGCCCATATCAGGCACCTGGAACATATAGCCTGTTGCAGTACTCCGAGACCGTTGACGGAATTTGGTATCCCCGTGGTGGGTTTCAAAAGGTGAGTTATACCTGTCCATCATACCAAATCAGATACCTCTCATATTTTACGCAAATAACACATTAGGAATATCAAATCCCAACTAACCACCACCAGGTTCTACAAGCTCTTGCAGACGTTGGTCGTAGGCTGGGTGTGGACTACCGTCTACGGGCCCCGGTAGACTCTGTCCTCCTAGCTCAGGACCAACGCTCGGCAAAGGGTGTTCGGCTTAGTTCAGGCGAAGCAATACACGCTGATCTGGTTGTCATAAATGCAGACCTAGTGTATGCCTACAATAATCTACTCCCAGAATCAGGATACGGTAGATCATTAGAACGACGGCATACCTCCTGCAGCAGTATCTCTTTCTTTTGGGCATTTGACACCACCTTTCCACAGCTCAAATCCCACAATATATTTCTTGCAGGGAAATATCGTGAGAGCTTTGACTCGATATTCATTGACCACAGTATCCCAGATGAACCCTCATTTTATGTGAATGTTTCCAGTCGGATTGACCCAACAGCAGCCCCACCTGGCAAAGACGCTGTGGTTGTGCTGGTGCCTGTAGGGAGCCTTAGGGAATCAGGAACCAATGATAAGACACACTGGGAGAGGACTATTGCAGACATACGTGATCTAGTTATAAAAGCCATCGAAGAGAGGACTGGGATACAAAACCTGAGGTTGAGATTGCTACACGAGACTTATGAGACGCCTCACACGTGGAAGGATAAATATAACCTCGACCGTGGCGCTATACTTGGGCTCTCGCACTCATTCTTCAATATGTTGAGCTTTCGGCCTAGTCTCAAAAATCCGACGATAGATGGACTTTACTTTGCAGGAGCTAGCACCCACCCCGGAACAGGGGTCCCAGTCTGTTTAGCAGGAAGTAAGTTGGTCTACGAGAGGATCTTACGGGACACAAGACCCGAGCAACGGATGATATTCGCGACTGCCTATATTTGGGTGGCGTTTACGTTGGTTGTTGTTCTGGCCACAACATGTTTAACTTTGCTTTATCCGGGTTGCTTGGATAGCTTTCTATGTCTGTTTCAGTAAGACGTGGTACTACGAAGAATCATTGCTATCACAGTCCGTTGACTATATGTCCACGTATTCAAATCCTGGAATATAACACGCGCTGGATACCCAGTTGCGAAAGGTTGCCTTTGACTAGTCTATATTTGCTGGTACTGCGTAAAAGTGTCCAGCTGACGCGGCATCACTGTTAAGGCACTGAGAATTGACCCGGTTTTTCCACGACAATAGTGGTATCAGAGACTGGTCATAAGGAGGTCCGGAAAACTGAGCGCCATTTACTTGGAGAGATTCTGATTGAGAGTTACTGCCAGTTTTCCTGACACCCGTCATGCAAAGCGGCCACAAAAGCCGATAGAACGCATATCCAAAAACAGAGATTACGTTTCTTGTACGTTTCTTGTACGTTTCTTGGAGTTGTAGTCGGCAGGATGTGGGAGGAAAGGAAATAAAGAAATCAAAGGCAACATGGAAATTGTACGCTGAGTTTCGTCTGGAATGGAGCCACCGCTCAGTTTCCAGACAGCACCACTACCACAAGTAGGACGACCTTGCTATAGACAGAGCTGTCAGAAGCCCAAACGCCATTACCAACATTACCCAGCATCTATAATCCCTGGTGGTACCTTTCGCTTTAATCCAGTCTTCCATTATCTGTTGGACCACGAACTTGCCACTGAGCAGACATGCGGGAACTCCTGCGCCTGGATGTGTACTGCAGCCCGTAAAATACAAGCCTTGAATAGCGGGATGTTTCATCTGCGGACGAAACCAAAGAACATTGTCGAAGTCATGAGACAAGCCTAGAATGGCTCCGCGATCCAAGTTGAACTTTTCACGCCACGTAAGAGGACTGTTCACAAGCTCGTGGACAAGCTTTTCACGCAAATTGCGGGCTCCTGTACGTGCTTCGATTGTGTCAAGTACAATGTCGCGCGTTTGAGCTACTAACTCATTCCACCGCTTTTCTTGTTCATCAGGACTCAAGGTGTCGACTAATCGACCAACCGGGACGAGAACCATGACGGATTCCTTCCCTGCTGGGGCAGCTGTCACATCTACCCGGCTGGGAACATTGACATAGAAGGACAAGTCTTCTGGAACGTCATGATCGTCAAAGATCCTATCAAAGCTCTCGCAAAACTGGCCTGCCAGGAACACGTTATGAGGTCGAAGCTCAGGGATCTGCTTATTGAAGGCCCAGTAGAATGAGATGCTACTGCAAGAGGTAGACCGCTTGCGTAGGTGTTCAGCTTTGCGGGAGGGAGGCAGAAGATGGTTATAAGCATAGACCAAATCAGCATTCACCACAACGATATCGGCTCCCAGAAACTCGCCGGATTCCAAACGTACACCTGTTGCTTTTGCATTATCATCACAGAGCTCGATCTTGGCTACCGGGCTATCCATTAAGTACTCTACCCCAAGGCGACGTCCCACTTCACTGAGGGCATGCAATACCTGTGGTGATAAATCAGCTCAACTATTCCTTTCATTGAGGCAATTGGTTCCATACGCGCTGAAAGCCCCCTCTCGGATACCAGATTCCATCAGTCATCTCAATGTAGGGCAATAGACTGAATGCACCTAGGGCGCGATAAGGGCTTATCCCGAGATACATGCTTTCGAAACTCCAAACGCGACGCATCTTTTCTGATCGAAAATATTTGGCTGCTTGGCTGTACATGCTTGTCCAAGGCCGAATATGAAGGAAACCTTTGAAAAGCGCCGGATGGAACATGCTTCTTAGGGTGGGAAAGCTTTGATTGAAGACACTCTCCTTACAAAGCTCATATTGCAGGCCCGACTCGGCGAGGAAAGTACAGAAACGGTTGAAACCCCCTGGCCCCTCATGGCATTCCATCTGCGCTTTGAGACGGGGGATGTCGCGGGAGAGCTCGATATGATCATGATCTGGAAACCAGATACAGTAGTTGGGCTCACACTCAAGCATATGAATACCTTCTTCTTCCAAGGAAGTGCCTAGATCCTGGAACGTCTTGCGGAAGAACTCCGGCATAAGCACTAGAGAGGGGCCTTGGTCGTATCTCTTTCAGCATGTTAAAACATCTTCCCCTGAGTTGTTGAGTCTAATCAGAAACGAATTTGGTGCAACAAGAATACATACATATCCATCTTTGTGAAGAAGTGAGCATCTGCCCCCAACAAAATTATTTTTCTCGACAACTGTCACCCGGAAGCCTTCAATGGCCAACCGAGCCGCCGCAGCTATACCGCCGGCTCCAGCACCTGCTTTTGTCAGTAACGGTGGTTTTGTAGGTTCTCAGCTTGCTAACCAATTACAATGGCGGATGCGGGTGATTTCGTGGTATCCATGTTATGTAAAGTCTTTGAGTTCGCAGAAGATTAGCTCGGCTGATACGGGAATACATGAAGGCTACATAGAACTAATTAATGCTAGGGTCTTCGGTGTAAATGAAGGCAACTACGATGATCCCCATAGTGGCGGATTACCCAGCGAAGACACGGCCAAGCATGCTGCACTTTCTTCCATCACAAGGTTAGGTAAACCATCATCAGACCTGCTTTATCAAAGGTTCACAGTATGCATTGATCCGAGAATGGCATCTCTTCTTGCCGCATGTAGTAATCACGATGGATTATCAGATCCTGCAATGAGTAGGAAGGGGTCCCGGACCGCAGGCCAATTACGTCGTCGATAGGGCTTTGAGTCTAGGTGACACAGCAGACGGCTTACCGCTTTTTATCTGTGCAGAAGATCAGCATTCTTGCAATCAGGTTGTCATGGCTGTGACGTGTTCGTAATATTATAGTACACACGAGAGAATTTGCAAACCTTTGTGTATTACCCGTAACTGAAATACCACCTGCACTACGTCAGTATTGTGGCAAGATAACAGGAGAACAACCCATGATATTGATGTTAGGGCATCTTCCATTTCGATGAGGGTGACAAATATCACACAGTCAATAAAACTTAAGTATGCATATTACCACATCTCGCAGAAAGGCGTGGAGAAAGTGCTCATGTCGAGGTACTGGCGTCCTGGAGACTGATTCCTCGTATCCACAGATGATTTTGGCACCTTATTTCAACACAGCGCCAGACTATTATCATACAGCAACCATAATGGCATACCCTCTCCTAAAAGACTTTGACCCGACCGAGCATACATTACCAGGAATATTGGATCATTATGCTCATCTTCGACCAGATGCTGTCTTCGCAGAGTATCCCCTATCCCGATCAACGTATAGCCAGGGATACCGCAAGATAACCTACCATGATCTGGCTAATGCTGTCAATGGAGTTGCCAGATGGCTGATCCAGAACCTCGGATTGGGCAACGGGTCGATGAAACTAGCCTACATCGGACCGAATGATATGCGATATGGTGTGCTGACACTGGCATCCATTAAAGCTGGATATTCGGTATGTTTTATACAGATTACCATAACGATTGAGGGGAAAGCGGTTCCTTAAAAGCGGTTTCTTATGTTAGTACAGATGTTCTTCCCTTCACCCAGGAACAGCGTCTCTGTGCAACGCGAACTACTTCATCATATGCAGTGCAAGGTTATCATTTGCCCTACACCACGCCCCACACATACTGTCAAAATTCTAGAGGGAGACGAAATGTACGTGCTGGACGTACCAACAACACAAGAGCTACTCGACACAGCTTATCCACCCCTTCCATACTCAAGGTCTCTCGGAGAAGTTTTGTCCGAACCCCTGTTGACCATCCATACCTCCGGCTCAACAAGATTACCCAGACCTATGACATTCACGCATGATACGGCAAAGAAGGGAATGAAGATGCATTCCTTGGATGCCCCTGAGGGATACGAAAGTCTGAATAAGATTTACTATGGGAAGCGAGTGTTTCTAGTTCTTCCTCCTTTTCATGTATGCTCTCCTTTGGGCCCAGGACTAAGTCACGCCTCGTGCGACTTGAGAACAGAGCTAACAAAGTGCAGGGTGCGTGCTTGGCTAGCCTACTTCTAAATGCCCTACCATTCAGCACTGTCATGGTTGCTCCACCTTCAGCAGCGGTCCCATCAGCCTCGGGGTTGGTGGAGGGTATAAAGCAAAGCAAGGCTAAGGTAGCCATCGTTCCTCCATCGATTCTGGAAGAGCTGGTACAGGAGCCTGATCTGCTAGAATACTGTGCCCTAAGCTTAGATTGTATTATCTACTGTGGAGGAGACCTCCCACAACAAGTAGGCGACGTGGTCGCAGTCAAGATCCCCTTGTACAACCAATACGGTTCGACGGAACTAGGCCTTGTATCCATGATTTTGTCCAATTCTTACCGCAAACGAGAGGATTGGAAGTATCTTGAATTTCATCCAGATATGGGCTTACAGTTTCGATCCACAATGAATAATCAGTATGAACTCTGCATGGTTCGTCAGAAACTCGTGGAAACACAGCAGATTGTCTTTACATACCCTGATTTCACAGACACAAACGAATATGCAACAGGAGATCTTTTTGAGCGCCATCCATCACCCGAGAAGTCGAGATTGTGGACCTGGAGTGGCCGGCGAGATGACATTATCGTCCTTACCAATGGTGAGAAGATGAACCCGGTCGGCATGGAGCACTGCATTATATCTCGCAGCAGAGTGATTACGGGAGCTCTAGTTACAGGGTCACAGCATTTCCAGCCGATACTATTGGTGGAGAAAAAGGATGATGTAGGTGAGTCAGAATCTAAGGATCGTGACGCATTGTTGGAAGCTATATGGCCCATCATCCAAGAAGCGAATCAAACCGTTCCCGCATACGCACGCATTGAGAAGACCCATATCTTGTTTACTCGATCTGAAAAACCAATGAAGCGTTCTGCAAAAGGAGCCATTCAACGCGCAGCGACGGTTGCATTATACCAGCAGGAACTCGAAGCACTTCATGCATCGATTGCACTTGATACCTCTGTTGAAGATGGGGAATGCATTCTTAATTCAGGCCAGATGTCACGCCCCGAAGCAGTGGCCGATTTTATCAAAAACGCCATCAGAGACGTTACATGGTGGGACCACTTAGACGAGAGCGAAGATCTCTATGTTCGAGGAATGGACTCCCAACAAACTTTAAGCGCAGTACGAATCCTCAGAAGAGGCTTTCCTGGCACGGGCGTTTCTCCGGCCATGTTGTATACAAACCCATCTGTTGCAGCTCTAACAAGGGTCTTGATTGATAAGAGCTGTAATAACGGCAAGGGCAACCAACAGTCTACGATCAGTAGAAGACTCGCAGAAAGATACCTTGCTCTAGAGATGTATCAAGAAATGATCGACCGAATTCCGCGGGCGGGGCCTTCGCAACGGCTGCGCGAGGGGCATTATGTTCTAATCACCGATAGTATGACCGGGGTAGGACCATACATTCTCGATACGCTCCTCAAACATTCCTCGGTCAAGCATATTTACTGTGTTACGAATGTGGAGGATGGTCGCGCAGAACAGCTATATGCTAATCGATGTCGACACCTTAATATTAATCTGGATCCGCAAAATGTGACTTTTTTGAAGGTAGATCTGTCCCAGAAGGAGCTCGCTCTAACGCCCGGTGGTTATGGGAATCTCCGAGGAAGCGTCACTATGATTATTCACACTGCATGGGCCAATAACCTCGTTTGGTCCTTCTCCTCATTCGAACCGCATCTAAGAGGCCTAGTGAATCTCCTTGAATTCTGTACAGTTGCCAGAAACCGCCCAAAGCTATTTTGGGTGTCTTCTATGGCCGGGCCTCTCAAAATACATGGCGACTGTGCAACCGTTCCCGAGCAAACTGTGCAAATGAACCGTCCTAGCATCAACAGCTACGGTGAAAGCAGATACGTTGGGGAACAAATCCTTCAATATGCACATGACCGTCTTGGACTGCAGATCGCTATTGCTCGCCTTACTTACGTTCCAGGCACAATCGAAAGCCCATCTGTATGGAGCGAGAACGACTGGTTATCAGGCCTGATTGCCGCTTCGTTGCAGATGGGCACACTGCCGGATTCTCTGGGACAACGATGCAGTCACGTCGACTGGATCCCCATGGACCTACTATCACACGTTCTCGTCGACCTTCTAATCGAGGATACTCCTAAAAATGATATGGAAGCAGGTCAAGTGGGTGGTATTACCACCCCTTCACTTCACGTATTTCACCCCGTAAACCTTCACCCCATCGACTGGCGCGCCGTTCACGATGTCATCATCGACGAGACACAGCACATTACTACACGGAGACTCAAATCTGTCACATTTCAGCAATGGATACAGCGGATCCAAAATGAACATGACGCTCAAATCTCCAGTCCGGATAACGTACACAACCGAAACTTGGATGGAGAGGCTGAAGCTCCAGACCCGCCATCTTGGACGCAAAAGCTATCAGGTGTACATTTAGCCATGCGTATGTTGGAGTTCTATCGAAAGGTATTCGCCACTGATGCAGTCTATGGCTTACCGGCGACAGAAAAAACCGCCAAGTCCAGTGCTATTCTCAGAAGCATTCCAGCGGTTCAAGAAGAGTGGATCCGGAAGTGGGTGCGCGAATGGGTGGAAGCTTTTTCCTAGGTACCCGATGAATGATTTCGATGTTTTCTTGTTATCTTTTGGCCATTACTAGCTCTAGTCTGCTCTGATAGTATCAATTTGTTACATGGTCGGGACGTCGGAGACCCTATCTTTCCTGACACTCCCAAGCACAGCGGGGCCGAAGTTAAGGTGAACTGGAGAGTAAACAGACCCTAGAGAAGCGCATTAGGTCTTTAGATAGATACCTTCCGTAGTATTAAATATATCAGGATGTTGACACAATTGCCGAGGCTCTGCAACAACTTTTGATAAAGATGCCATGACTATCTGCTTATCAGGATTCTTGATCGCCGATCGTCGGCCGCGAATGCCGACCCCTCATTATCATCCAGCGCTTCCCCTCTTTGCCTCGCCTCCTCATCCATCTTCCCTCCTCCCAATTCAATTCCACCTTTCTGCCTCATTCACCATGGCATCCACTACAGATATCAAACCATGGCTCCGTCCAGAGCCTGGATTCTACATTCTCTCCCACGCCAATATTGTTGAGGTCGCAAGCGGTACAATTTTGGAAGACCACTACGTGCTGATATGTGAAGGAGTGATCACTGTGATCACATCGTCTTTAGATCGTCCGCCACCCCCAGAATACACGATAATAGATTGCACTGGCATGTACATCTGCCCCGGGCTATTTGATGCCCACGTGCACTTCGTCGCTGTTCCCGGTTTCAAAGATCTATCCATGGCGTTTGGGAATTTCAACGACGTATCCCTTCTGCGACAACCATACGTCGCGACTCAAATGCTCTACCGTGGGTTCACGAGCGTACGAGACTGCGGAGGTGCACAACTTGCCTTGAAACAGGCAATCGAGGACGGCGTTTTTCCCGGACCAAGATTATTCATTGCCGGACACGCCCTGTCGCAGGCAGGAGGCCACGGCGATATTCGCGCCGCGCACGACCACGTGCAATGCTGTGGAGGACACACCAACGGGCTCGGGCGCATATGTAATGGAGTGCCAGAATGCATGACAGCGGTTCGTGAGGAGATCCGCTCGGGCGCAGATTTCATCAAGATCATGGGGTCCGGTGGAGTGTCAACCCCGACAGATCGGTTGGACCAATTGCAGTTTACTAAAGCCGAGATCCAGGCCATGGTGGAATGTGCTGAAAATGCGGGCACATATGTTACTGCACATGCTTATACTCCAAAGGCGATTATGCATTGTATCGACAATGGTGTAAAGGGAATCGAGCATGGGAACTTCATCACCGAGGAAGTTGCCAAGATCATGGCGGAACGGGGCATCTACCTGACACCGACACTTATTTCATACGCGCAGATGGATTCTGAACGTTGGAGGGGATATCTCCCGCCTGATGGACAGGCTAAGAATACCGAGGTCTTGAGCGCTGGCATGCAAAGCTTGAAGATTGCGTCCGACGCGGGAGTCACTCTCTGCTATGGAAGCGACCTGCTTGGTCCTTTGGGAATAGCACAGACTGGGGAGTTTGCGCTCAGAGCGCAAGTTCTCAGCCCGCTGGCTGTCCTGCAGAGCGCGACCATCAACCCGGCGAAGATGATGGGTCAGGAAACGCGGATCGGACAGATCGAAGATGGGTTTTTGGCGGACATCCTTTTCCTCAATAAGAATCCGCTTGAGGATGTCACTATCTTCGACCGGCCGGAGGAATGTGTCCTAGGAGTGATGAAAGAGGGTCGCATTTACAAGAGTCGTTGTGAGCAGCTGACGGAGGATGCACACATCCCGGTGAGACTGACGCCATCTAGACAGTAGTATTGTTTTGTTTGGGTGCTATCTTTCAACATAAACATTAACAGGTGCATGGTTGCACAAGGACCTCTGTTATTTCTTGAAAGTCACGTAGAGCAAAGAAAGTAATGCGACCGCAGTTCACCTTCCCTAAACACTCCCACCTTACCAGTCTACTTTTTTTCTCACGTTAGAATCGCAAATCTGGCCCTACACAAGATAAAATTCTGTCTCTCTCGTCAACATAACATTAATATATTACCTATTTACACTACACCATCCTAGGAAGAGCAAGCCACAAAGTCATCGCCGCTAGCACCAGTATGCGTAATCACACCCGCCAATTCATCGTCTCCGTTGAAAATCACGCGATCCGCTCCCGGCGAGCCACCAGTATAAACATCATAATCGTTCATTATAGGATACTCGTAGTAGGTGCCGCTGACGGGGAAATCGAAGCCCTCATAGTCGTGGTACTCGTGCGGGTAGTCGTCGATAGTATCTCCAGACTCGTAAAGAGAGTATCCCTTGGCCATGGCTGCGCTGACATCGCTAGACCAGTAGCAGGTGCTTCCGCAGGTATACTCGCAGCTTTCGCGGCTTTCGATGTTATTTCTCGCGGAGGGAGAGGCGAGCGAGACGGAGAGGAAGAGAGGGAGAAGGGCGACGATGCTCTGATTCGATTGCCTGGTTTAGTTCCATAATCTCATAGTGGCGGGGACTTTCGGTCCGTACCTTGGATTGAACCATGGTGACTGTCGGTGCTGTGGCTACTGCCTCAAGGCTATGTACAGAGGGAATTGATGTAGAGAGAACGTGTCTGAAGCCCCAAGACCCCCGGACAAGACGACCTATTTATCCGTCCATTTCGTCTCCCCCGTGCAGGTCCATCTAGTCGGAGGCCTCCTATCAATCAGACCACAAACAGGGACAGCCAACACGGCACACGGCAAGGACTCCCAACTCCGAGGTTACATTGCATCCGGAGCAGCCGATAAGATAGCATCGTTCCTGGCACGTTCTTCCAGTCGCAGCAACCACAGGATCCAGGGTCTGTCGATCTTCACCCGTCAGGGCATTCCATCCGAGACCCTAGATTGCTTAGCGCGCTCCACTCGTCAGGAACTCCAACGGATCTCCCAATCGCGTCCGATAACTTTGGCACGGAGGTGGCCGAACCAACAATTGTTGCTGAAAGCTAGTGAGAAAAGCATTTCAGGTTAGGGATTGGCTTATCAGCTGAGGTTGGTTCAATGAAATGACTACTGGAGGGGTTGCAGGTCTCGCGGGATAGTAGTCTTTATCCTGACTCAGGAATTTATATATATATTTTCCTTCCCGGGTAGTGTATCAATCGCGGTTTTGGTGCATGCTTAATTTGATACACACAATTTTTGTTGGCTTGAGCGGGATTTGACATCACATGTCATTTTTTTCTTCCAGACATGCTAATGCCTCGGAGGGCCTTATGGCGACTGATTTAGACTGGGAACACTAGAAAGGCAGTTGCCAGAAAATTTTCAAAATTGATTCTTGAAGACGCTGAGTGTGGTGGTGGATCGCTTCAGTGCTCTAGAAATATACTATGTCGGAAAGCCAGTATGATCACTGCGCTTGAAAGATATCCTTCTCAGAAACGTGTCGAAGACGTTAGCCAAGACTGTCAGTCTCGCCGGTAGTTTTCATATTCGACTGTCGTGACCGAAAATCTTCAACTCCAGCCTCTAGCTTCAAGTTTCCCAGCCATACAGAATTATCCGCACATGTTTGATTCCACGGATCGTCACAACAATAGACAATCATGCGAGCAAGATCTTGTAAAGTGGAGTCGGGAGGGATAACACCAATCCGAAGTTGACTTTTGATATAATCTGTAAGTTCACGTTCCAGGATACGCCAGTGATTGACGTCCTTGACAAGGTCCGTCCCTGCAACAGCGGGGCTATCGGCCTCAGAGCTTGTCTCCAGCGCCTTGGCGGACTTGGCACTATATGGGTTTGTTGTTAACCGCTCCTGGCCGATTAAATATGGTGGCATAGCATTTTCCACCAGGCCTTGCACGGCCGTCTCAAATCCCCAATCTCCTTGCCACTGGCGCATATCCATTCCAGCCTTAAAATATGTCGCAAGGTGTTCTACACACTCTGTCCAGGTATTGAGCTTAATGTCACAAAAACCACATACTGATCGTATCTCACTGATGCTAGGATTCCAGCTCTCCATCCATGGAGAAAATCTGACATTGTGAACTAGTCGTAGGTACTGGCGAAGATGATCCTTTCAGGAGAAGATTTGCTCCTGTTGGCCCTTCTCATGACATAGATAATACTCATGGAGATCTAGGTGCTTCTCATCCAGATTAATGGCTAGACACAAGACGCACACATTGTGGCCATGCTCCATGCTTCAGAGCAGCTGGAATCATATAAAGACTCATGAGAAATACAATCTGCACGGACAAAATTAGGTAACAGATCATTCCCCATCATTGGGAGATCTAGACTTAATTGCCCGAAGGAGTCGTAGTTTTCTATAACATTGTGTGAATGAGGCATATATTAGTTGTCATCAAATCATTCGTCCACTGGATAGTTAAGACCCGACAGGTCAAAAGATAGAACTCCAGGGGATGATTCAGGCATCATAGAGCTAACTTTGCCTGAATCCAAATAGGTTGGGGCCACATCTTCCTCACGGGAGCGAAAGCAGTAGCTGAACGGTGGCTCGTGGAGGTCTGAGTTGACCATTAACTGAGATATGTTTCCGGGTGAGAAACCAACTCCTGGCGGTGAAGGAAGATCAAAGAATCATTAGTATGGCAAAGGAAGCAGGAACATGGAATGATGCTTCAGAAAAGGCGATTCAAGATGATCTCAGTGTCCGCGGCGGGGTTGAGTCAACTCGCAATCTGCGGGCAGCCTCGGTCGGGAACTCGGGGCAAAGTCGGGGCAGCGATACCGAAACACTTTTGCTCTTTAGCTAGAGAGAAAGGGAAGTGGAGCGTTTGTACGAGCCGGACTCTCGCTCTGTGTATTTGGATTGGGGATTTCTCCCGGAAGGTGGAAAGGGCGCGAATCCTTCGTGGAGGCCTTGAGGCCGCAGCAACATTCCCACAGACTACCCCCTTCACCGCCCTAGAAAATAACAGATTCTCGACTGGTGGTTCTTGGGGCTGGAATGGCGGTAATGTCTGCACCCTCGCTGACCTTGTTGCTATTACTACTAGTTAGGGCAGCAGTTGAACCAGACGCCACTCTGTAGTGGTAGAAGGCTTTACGTATCCTTGGGCTACGCTGGAATGCCTACAGCTCGGTGATAACCGGAAGGTTGTTTGTGCCTGGGTATGCCTGTAGTGCTTCATCCACTGGGAAAACATGGTCGAAATGAATCAAGGACGGCACCATATCTCAGGCCATCTGTTCTACCACGATCACTTATTGGTGGGTTTTCTTCGAACACGGAGGGTTACATATTGTATACTGATTTTAACGGGGAAGTGGCGAGCAGGTCCGAGATCAAGCACTGGGACATCGGTTAGTTGGAGCTCGTCTCGTATACGACGGACCGCCGGTGGGGCTTTGAATTACAGCATATATTGACATAGTATGAAACTGGTGCTGAAGGAAGCTCGACATGACTGGTCTTTCTTAAGGAGTTTTTTTTCGTTCAGACTTGGTCTGAATATGCTTCTTAATTTCAAATCAAATGATCATCCATCATCCGTTCTTGCTCGGCTCGGATCTGTGCGACTCCGCCTCACTCCTTCCCTTCCTCCCCGGATCCTGTCATCATCCGTTCCCTAATCTTTCCCAACTCGCCGGATCTGTACGCTGAAAATCATCCGGATGATTTGCCAACACTCCGTTCCATCTGCACTCCCATTCTTTCATTTTTGAACACTGCCTTCACCTAGTATGTACTCTGTTTGTGGTCTCATTGGAGGGTTTGGGACAGATCGAGTTGGCCAGGATGCTATTCCTGCAGCGTTATACGTAGTTTACTTTGGACGCAAGCCTAGAATATGTTTAGTCATGCCTTTTCTCCAGCCTATACAAATAAATTCCAGACATCTCTTCCAACTTGAATAAGATGTCGTCCTATTCCCACAATAAGCGTCAGGGCCTATCTCTGTCAAACAATGGCTGCCAACTCGGCGCAGAACGTTTCCACAAGGCCCGCCGCCGAGCCAGAGCAAAGCATTACACCCAATGCAACAGGAAAGGTCTCCTCCGAGAAGACAATCACCGAGAAGCAGAGCCATAGAGACCGGGACGAAGCGATTCAACTAGCGACCGAGAAGAAGTCCTTTCGCTTCTTTGCGATCATCGCGGCGCTCGCCCTCTCCGGACTTTTGACTTCATTGGAGGCGACCATCACCTCCACTGCTCTCCCGACTATTACAGCAGATCTTGGGGGTGCCAACCTTTACGTATGGGTAGTCAATGGCTTCTACCTTACTCAGTAGGGACTTCTCATCATAAACACTGTGTCTCGTCTAACGTAGCATTTTCGCAGGACGGCATTCCAGCCGTTATTCGGCCAGATCGCCGACATATACGGTCGCCGATGGCCCATGATCATCAGCACCGCTACCTTCACCCTAGGCAGCGGCCTATCAGGCGGCGCAAATAACATCGACATGTTAATTGCCGGTCGACTGATTCAAGGTATCGGTGCAGGGGGGATCAACGTACTCATCGAAATCATCGTCTGCGATCTGCTACCCCTTCGCGAACGAGGCCGCTACTTAGGTCTCATGTTCGGCCTCATCGCCATTGGAACCACACTGGGTCCTCTCTTCGGGGGCCTCATAGTCCAATACACCAGTTGGCGCTGGGTATTTTACCTCAACGTTCCCATCGGCGGTGCCGCTCTGGTAACATTATTCCTCTTTCTCCGCGTGAAATCCGACCACACCCCCGATTACCTGCAGAGATTGAAACGCATCGACTGGCTTGGAAACACCCTTTTTATTCTCTCTATGATTTCCGTCCTAATCGCCCTTTCCTGGGGCGGTAGCAATTACCCCTGGTCCTCCTTCCGCGTCATCGTTCCTTTAGTCCTTGGCTTCGTTGGATTCGCTGTCTTCTTCCTCTACGAAGCTTCCCCCAAATGCTGCCTCAACCCTACCATGCCGCTGCACCTTTTTGCTAACCGCACATCTGCTATGGCTTTCGGCCTCACCTTCCTGCACAGCCTCTCCGCCATCGCGGTCATGTACTTCCTCCCTGTCTATTTCCAGGCTGTCCTTGCCGCTTCACCCAGCCATTCGGGCGTCCAACTCCTCCCTACTATCCTCTTCATGATCCCGGCTGCCATCACCGCTGGCGGTTTACTCTCAAAATTGGGCCGCTACCGTCCCATTCAACATGCTGGCTTCGCGTTCATGATCATCGGCTTCGGGCTGTTGACTCTACTAAAGGCTCATGCGAGTACAGGCCAATGGGTCGGATATCAGATTCCCAGTGCGGTGGGGACAGGTCTTGCCCTGCCTGTCCTCCTTCCTGCTGTGCAGGCGTCACTCACGGAAGCAGATACGGCGCTCTCAACCTCAACGTGGGCGTTTATTCGCAGTTTCGGGCTGATATGGGGTGCGACTATTCCTACAGCGGCGTTCAATAATCGGGTGAATGCGCTGTTGGGGAGGGTTGGGGACTCGAGTGTTGCGGAGCAGTTAAGGGACGGGAAGGCATATGAGGCTGCTACGAAGGCGTTTTTGGATTCAATTACCGATGAAGTGACAAGGGCACAGGTAGTTAGTGTTTATGTTGATGCTATTAAGACGGTGTGGTATGTTTCTATGGCTTTCGCTGGGTTGGCATTTTTGCTGGTCATTGTGGAGAAGGAGATTCCGCTGCGGAAGGAGTTGGATACCAAGTTCAGTATGGAGGAGAAAGAGAAAGAGGGAGGCCAAGCAAATCAATTTGCTGCGTGAGATCATGGTCCAGTCAATCTTCTATTTCTGAAAGAATGAGCAATCATGGATAATATAACTATGAGTTGGATTCTGCATCAAGTTTAGCTAGGGTCTTTCTTGACTATGATCCTTTGAATACTCCCGGTAAGAGAAGCAGCTCAGATGCCATTGAACTCAATGTTCTGAAAAGAAGGGACTGCAACACAGCCATCATGTAGAGAGTGATTGGAGGCATTGGGGGGAAGAGACTTAAAGTCTCAGGGGGATCGTTCACAGCCCTGCGTAGATAAGTGTCTGGGGTGGTAGGCCGGTGCACGGATAATAATCTTCCATCCAAGTTCTTGCGTATTCAACTAGGATTCTACATCATATGGGTTCTACAAGTGAGCCTCAGAGGGAGACAAAGAGTCGAATGTAGCCCAAACGCATGATCTATTCACTGATTGACAGCAACATATTGTATATGATTCAGATGAGAGAGTCAATACATGAATGTATGGATGCCGGGAACGCAATTTGGCAAACAAAGGCATTTGACCAAATTGAACAAAGGCCCTTTGAAAAGCAGTTGAAAGGAAGTAACATTCCCTACATGCGGGTAATTCATGTCTTGGTGTGGCTAGCATTTAGCTATGATTCACTTTGATAGCCAAAAAGAAGGCAAATACCCTATGCCACGCAGAGTGTCCTACAATCTGGGGATTTAAACGCCCTGTAGGCTTTCATTTGGCGCTATACTTTCTCAAGTCAAGTGTCTACTAGCAAACCTACATGTTTAATTTATTTAAGATTGTGAGTGGAACAGGTGGAAACCTTATCGATTAACGAAAAGTCCCAGTCAATGGTAGCTATGACTGTAGCAAACAAGTCTGGTGACCGAAGAATACAAGGGCTAACTGTTATAGATAAAGTTGGCAGTGACTAAAGCAATATCGATCAAGGAAAGTTCCAACTCTCAGTACTAGGCATACAGTCTACAACCAATGTTTGTATGAATAACAAATCACATTTCACTACAAAGACAAAAGCCTTGTGGTAGTCACTGGACGAATACCATATGTCTCAATGAACGTCTATAAATAGACCAACCGTTCATCTTTTATATTTCACTGCCTGTCAGTGCATATCAGTGCAGCAGCTTAACCTCGGCAATTACTTATAGTTACATTGCCGTCACTCCATCCTTCTTTCCAATGCACGTGACAACACGAAAAAGGAAAGCAGTCACGATGACAGCCCCCACCCAATCCCATAACGCCTTACCCGATGGCTTCAGCGTCACTACTATCACTCTTGACCTAATTCCCGCGGAGTTCAAACAATTTCTACGCGCCAGCCAAGACGTGCCCGGAACGAAAGAGTATTGGTCGGCTCCCCCAACCTCCATCCTTTGGCTCAGCTGTCATCCCCACAATTCTTACTACGACGGCAACAGCAACGGCAAGGGCTGGGAGGCTATCGAGAGAAAACACGTTGCGACGCTGATCCGCGCCTTTAAGAACATTCGAACCAAATTCCCGACTCTCCAACCGGTATACGGGGTGATAGCCATTGGGGTGGATCTGAGACTGTACAGGGAGAGGATGAACACAGAGGATGCAGCCGAGGATGGCAAGCTTGCGGTGGAACAGTTCTCGTTCAACGAACAGAACGTTTTTCACGACTACAAAGATGTCGAAATCGTGAAGCAGTGGATGTCATCCATCCCTCTCAACTTTCAGCCGGATCCACGTCTTAAGTCTGACCTAAAGGAGCTCTATGGTTGGGATCCCATCTTCATCGACTTGTTGGGTATGTCTTGGCTGGATTCAGATTAATCGGACTAGCAATTTCTACTGCCGAGTGAATCCTTCGTGCTCTTTGCCAGACCGGTCTACGATAAGGCTCTCTATTTCCTGACAGACTTCGTCCTCCAGATTGTGGATGTCTCCAAGTGTTCGGAATAGTGATCAGGAGTAGGACTAGTAATGATAGGGAATGGAAAGAGAAAACTGGGCGCACCGATTCCTCATGTTTTGATTTCTCCAATGTGTCTACTTACTTGTGGTCCAACTTGAGAGTTCCATGCTCAATCATTCGTACTAAATTATCCTAAAACAATAATGATAATGTTGCGAAGAGTCGAAACTGCCTACTACATAGGGAAAGTCTCGTCTCTGTCCCATTTATCAAGCACCTTCAGTTCCAAATCAAACGTAGTAAATCTCTTCTTTAACACCATCAATAGAGCGTATATATCCGGCTGAATATCATTCTCGGCCTTCCGATGATTATATTCCAGCTGAAATGCCTCCAGCGAGTAGTGGGGTATATTTGGTGGACACACGAAAGGCACGCGGTCCTCCTCATCGATCGGCTGCTGCAACACGACAGTTTTCATCGAAGGGAACAATACATACACCTTCGTTCCTGTCTGACTCTCCAACACCTGTCTCAGCTGGCTTGCTAGCACAGGTAGTATTCCCCGATCACAATCCTCCAGAAACAGTCCTTCCAGACTCAAAGGCAAGACATCCCATAAATCATTACCCACCCAGACATTGGGGAATATGCAGTTCTGGGGACTGCCACCATTCCGCACCACTGTTAGGAGGTTATCCACACGAATCCGCACCTGCCGTAGCGAGTGAAATACCCCTAGGTCCCCGATAGGGATTCCTGGAAGGTCCTGCGTACGTCTCTCGTATTCCTTCATACGGAAAGATCTCTCGACAGTCACCCAGAGTTCTTGAAGGGAGTTGCAAGACGCTTCAGTCAGACCAGAATACAGCTCAGCTGGGTTCAAATTATTGATCGGGGTTGAAGTAGCGACATGCTGTGTTTGAGCAACGGGCGATGCCTGGCGCATTGAGGTATTTATCCCAGTATTCTGGTTTGTATGATCGGTGGTGGCTTGCGTATTAACTTGCGGTAGGCCGCTGTCGTAGTGGCGGTAGATGAGGGACTGAAGCTTAGGGAGGCGTGTAAGGAGGCTGGGGAGTGTTGCAATGGTGGAGCAACCGTGGAGGGTAAGGTGCGTTATGTTGGAGTGAAAATAAGATGGATACAGCGGAAGGATCGGGGAAAGAGACGATGTGTCAAGAAAGTCGGTTGCATCGCCTTCTTCGTTGAATGATGGGAGTTGGTAGTTATCAATGGCTCTAACGAGGCGAATCTTCCGTATTGAAGGGAGCTGGGTAAATGGTATGAAGTTAGATAAATATGAGCAATCAACAGGTAACTGAGGGCTGAAATGGAGCTCTGATAGTTGGGTAAGACCTGTGAGAGGGTCATTTGGGTCAGTCAACCGCGATAGAATAGACTGCAAGTATGGCGAATTTGCGTCCAGGTATTTAAGCTCAAGCTTGCGCAAATTGGGCAGTTGAAGCAGCAGAATGGCGAACCATGCATCTTCACGGCCGGCTTCCAGTGCTTCGCGCCACCAACATACCTGGTCAGGAGCAGATTTGGTAGATTGCAAGAGGGCCTCGAGGAGCACGTGGTCGAGAGGAAGAGGAGTCTTGGGAACTCGGCCAACGAACAGATCCTCTACGCTAAGAACTTGGATAGCACATGCAATGTGAGTATACCGACAGGTATTTTGTGTGGCAGAGATAAGGAATGGAAGATATGGGACGTTCTCAAATCTTGGGAAAGAGCCTGTGTGGATATGGAACGCTTGGTGCACAAGGGGCATGAACATTGTGTAGAGTCGCCAGCAGACCCGCAGCAGGGGGGTGATGTACCAGCCTTGGTCGTTGGAGAAGACACTGTGGGCCGCGGGCCCAAGGCATTCCCAGATCTGCAGGAGCACGATATCAGGCAAACGATCAAGCATTCTAGTATGCCGTGGTTGTTATTGCACGTGGGTTCTGATCTGACTTCGTGGGTCCTGATCTGACTTCGTGGGTCCGGACCTGCTCCGCTCCCGGTTTAAATATTGCGCAGATAGTAACGAGCCAGGGGCCAGTTGCAGGGCCCCCAAGGCAGCAATCCCATTGTGGTGGCACCGAAATATTCATCTCTATCGCCTGGATGCACTGGTACTCACGTTAACTGCATCCAACAAGCAGTTCATGAGCTTCTAGCGAATGCATCTTCTCGCCCCGCCAATTATAGGACATTGTATGGCATTGTTAATGAGGTTTATGTATGTCTGAGAATGAAGTTACCGGGCTGCTGGATGCAACCGAAGGGGAGGTAATGACTTGCAATAATTGTTCACTCTGTGCTTTCAAGCCTTCATATGCTGCCTAGAACAAGTGATACCGATATCTCCCAAGTTGATTAGGTGCCAACTCAGAACTGAGACAGATTGAAGGCATTTCTTTCTTTAAAGTATATTTCTGCCACATCCGTTGCCTGGTGTAGATGGAAGAGTTTGTAGGGAATATCTGAGAAAATCCTACGTTTGGGTACTCTCATTTTGTTACATTCGGGGGGCCTATCCGCCACGAGAGAAGTGAACTTAATCTTAAATTCTACTACAGCTCATTTTGGATATATTTATCGAATGAGAATTGAAGGAGTAGTTAGGATGAATTCTAGGAACACTAATCGGCTCCAGGAATTAATTAATCGTGAATCTGTTACTACAACCTCATGCTGGTGCCACGACTGGGGAAGGAATTCTCCTTGCCTTGTCATGGAATTTCGCAATAATGTGCAATATGAATAGTTGAAGGTTTTTGATTGCGGGGCATCCATTTCAGCAAAATGAAGCGATGGCACCAGACTCATTTCGATGTACCTCCTCTGCCACGCGTGTTTGTGTGACTTCATCTGTGAAACGTTGTCAAGATCATCCTTTGAACTTTTTATGTGCCAGGCCTACACATCTCACGCAAATAATAATAATTCATGAAGAGAATTCCCAACATACATATGTTGATTTGTCTCTTCATGCCTCATTGGGTCATCATTATGTTTATAACTCAATCGTGATCCGAAAGACCATGTCATCCCTTGTGCATCTGGCATGATTCTATACAACCTAAGGTCATGGTGAGAACCAAACAAGGAGACTCAAAGTAGCTAACGGGGCACTCTGCGAGAATGTCCAGCATGTCGTTAATTTCCGTCTCTTTTCTACTTGTTGCTAAGGCAAGTCGCCAATAAAAGACGGTAGAAGCCTCTGAAAAAGTATTTGGACTTGTTTGGCTTGAAGTCTCCTTTATCCGACTTTCCCACTTGCTACTACTAATTACTGGGAGACTCCGACCCCTTTGTTCCTGGTCTGCAAATGGTCAGGTTTAAAGAACCATCATCTCGTCCCCAACCAGCACTATGAACCTAACAACAACAAGATGTCCACCAGTAACCTGCCCATTCTGATGAAGCCAAACGGCTCTACTTCCAACCAGGTGATACCAGTCCCTGTAGAGCCGACCCGCAGCCTCACTATCCAGACGAAAAGGAGGATGTCGATCATCCCACCTCCGATTGATCCACTCGAACAACTGGTGTGCATCATCTGCATGGAGGAATCCATCCCTCCACACGTAAGACTTACTCGACCGTCTCAAACACAGTCACTTCCGTTCTAACACTACTCTCCTAGATGCTCTCTGACATACTTAGCGAAGCATACGCGAGTGACCGGAGTCTCCCCCCCGGTCTGATACTCTTAGACACCAGCTTTATACACGCCCTCGATTCCCTGACTCCCGAATCAGCCAGTGTTCCCCCAGTCGACGACATGTTCTGCTCGCCTTTTGTGGGAATGGATGTCGAGCAGATAACGGATGTTATAACCAACACCTGCCAGAAAAGTATCCTCAGTACGAGGTTATTTTTCTTAGCAGACGATCTTACGGCAGCCACAGAAACACTCCGGAAAGTCGAGGTTGGCAAAACATTGGATTGGCATAGTTCTCGGGTCGCATGGAGGGATGCGAACATTATGGCTGCCAATTGGACTCACGGTTACGCTTCTGGTATATCTAGCAATGCTTGCTATGGAATCTTCTGAGTCCTCCAGATTTCTCATGAGGAATGTGACGCTTCTGGCATTTTGAAAAGAAGGATATTGGAAGGCGTATTCATAATACCAAGTGTTGGTTTTGATATACATAACTCTAATTTTATAAATGGGCCACCATATGAAGTGAGCGAAGAAGAACATGATCAGATAATCAAAGAGCCATAGTACGCTAGTAATGTTCATATTTTGAAACAGGTATACCAACTATTGTCATCCCCTATCTTCTCAACTGCATCGAGCACCCCCGAACAGAATACCCTGCGACGCAGAACGAATGCATGGCAATCATACATGGTACAGGAGGCGGAATACGGAAGAAACGCACCCCTTCATCGCATTGGAGAACGATACCAATGTTGTGCCCACTATTCTATATAATTTCGTGGACTGTTTTCACAGGTGATCTTCTCCCAATCATGGCTTCATTGTAGAAATATTGTCTACCCTAGCACTACTCCTAACAGCCCAAAAGAAAGCAATCAGAAAAGTGGCTGATGACCATGCTTTTCTGCCAACAATTGCGCCGAAGCCGCAACAGCCGCATTGCATCCGCTAGAAATGGCACCCGCAACCACCTTATACGGAGTAATACAATCACCCGCAGCAAAAACGCCCCGGATACTGGTCTGGTGGAAAGGCGCCGCTGCAGCTATATCCCCCGTACCAGGAACGAAGCAAGGTGCAAGTTCCAGGCCCAATTGAGTAGCGAATGTGCTCTTGACCTGGGTGTTGGGATTATGCACGAGAAACGCCTCTTCGACCTGGCTACCATCGGCAAGCTGGACCTGAACGGAGGCCGAAGTACTCAGAACATCCCCGTTGAGTTCCAGACCGGTGATTTCACGGTTATCAACCTTGAACACAGTATTGCTGCTCTGGCTTGCCAATGTGGTAGCCAACTGGGACTCAAGTGTCTCCTGTCCATTGGTATAGATTGTAACCTGTTCGGCCAGCTGAGCAGCATTTTCCGCCTGATGCATCGCCATCGGCACATTTGCGGCGGACTGTATGGCGAGGACGCCTGCCCGTTTTGCGCTGCGGTCCTCGTATCCTTTGCAGAATAGGCAGTGAAAGCTATAGGAAAGACTTAGTTGAAGCTTCGGAGCAACGAGAGGGAAAGGTGAATGATGGCGAGCTTACATGCGCTTTCCCCAGGCATCGGCGTAGCCGGGTATGGGTGGGAAAATGTCCTGGGATCCAGTGGCAAGGATCAATTTTCTTCCTACCCAAGAATTCCCACTTGCGTCGGTTACCTTGAAAAGACCGTCATCTCCTTTCTCGGCCTTTTCGATACTCGTGTTCTCCAAGCTAATGGTGGAGTAGTTTGACAGAATCTCCTGACGAGCCTGCTCACGAAATTGAGCAGGGTCTCTGTGGTCCCACGTAGGGATCATGTGCATAAAGGGGGAATTGCCGTTGCGATATGACTGGTTATCGAAGAGGACCGCTGTGTGCAGTTGACGCGCAAGAGTGAGAGCAGCTGTTAAGCCAGCGGGCCCGCCGCCAATGATGAGGACATCAACTGGGTCGGAAGACATGTTAATTGACTTCGATGAGTTGCTTAGATGAGGTAGGTTGAAGTATGGACAGTTGGTGGGATTGTACAGCAGAGAAATTCGTGAGGGCAAGATGTCGGTTTAAATGTCGATCTGTTTAGCGAGGTGGGGGGTGGGAGCGGCGCTGTCAGCATAGCTACCACGAAGACGCTAAGCGTCCACTTCTTGCAGGAATCGCATCCTTGCTTCTAGACAGGATTAATACACAGAAAGTAAGGCACTAATAAATCCCGCACACCCCTGTCGACCTTCCGCATTTGTGGCCTCCTGGTACTGGCACTAAAATACCTGGGATGGATGTCGGTTCATTTTCAGGCCGAATAACGCCGATCAGACATTCGTATGGAGTACGAAAGACATAAATAAAGGTGCAAAGCAGCTCTCCCACAATAGCATTCCCAGATCGAAAGAAATCTTTGCCAGGCTCTCTCCTTCCACTCCACACAAGAACAAGCATCCATCTTCCACCGAGCGGAATTCACCAAAATCTCTGCGCAAGTAAGTATACCCCTGGAAGGCCATCTTATGCGAGTCTGGCTAATGTGACCCAGACATCATGCCTGGCCTCGTCGTGATACTCCTGACCTTCTGGCTGTCTGCCTCCGGAATTATGGCGAGCCCTATCCCTCAACTCAACGATGAATCTCCTCGTAGCCAATTCGGTTTTGCTGATGTGGCTGAGCCTGCGAACTGTTGTCTCTGATGTTTTCTGACAGATATTTGTCTTGAGGGGCTGCCAATAGCAAACAGATGAAAGGCGAGAGACGTGATTGGTGAGGGGTTTGGCGCTAGGCCCTGGGATAAAGCGAATGAAACCTTGCTCTGTAAATAAAAACAACCATCACTTTGACATGTGCTACAGTGCTAAGGATAAGACTTCTCTCTCCTTCACTTAGATTTCCTGACTTGTAGTTATACTAGACCGTATTGTACCATCCATATCAGACACCCTTTGTGTGCTTAGAGCTCCAATGCTATAACCAAAAACTTGTTAAGACTTTGTACACTCCCATTAGGTGTAAGAAAAGGGGGGTTGGGATCAGTGTCGGAATACCTGCACCAGGGTGACCGGTAACATCACAACTTCTTTATTATCACTTCCTAACGTGCCAGTACCTACAACAAGCCTTTCCAAACTCGCTCTTGCCAGCCATTACTCTATTCTTCCTAGAAGCTCAAACATACTTTAGATACAGTGCTCATGGCCTAGGGGATTCTGCTTGGTGATTTTTTCGCCCTTTTGGGTGTCCCTTACCGCGTTCCTACCCTATCTTCCAGCCTCTGCGAAAGTATACCTTCCACGCTTTTGGATCCCGAGTTGCCGTTCATGTCAACAAAAGCCTAATAGAGCTTGATCAATCACTCTCCGGCCATGGGACCCATTCCTCGTCATATCCAAAGAAGCTCCTTATGATGGGAAGGTAAGGAGAATCGTTGGGGCAGTACTTGAATCTGTCCAGATTTGATATGTGTTCATCGGTGTGTGATAGCTCCCGATAGCATGGACTATGTTCGTTTACAAAAGCATCCAACTTCTCCCAATCCCGACACATTCGAGTCTGTCCATCACCAGGCCGAAACCCAGTCACTGTATTGTGAGGGACATACCTTGGTGTGTCATCTGCCGTGCATAACGTCTCCAGCCTGATACTATCAAGGCAGTGCAGAATATGTTCGTATGTGATGCTCTGTGGCTGATCATGGCGGTATTCCTGTATGGAAATGTATACATTTCGCTGAAGTTGTTAGCAATTGATACAATAGGCACTGGGAACAGGCTATTGAGACACATACCACACAGTGAAGAATATGATGGGAATTGAGAATGTAGATGCTCTTGCTAGCATCCCAAGGAAATGGCTGTGAATCTGGGAGCCCCATGCGCTTCGCCTCGCCTTTCTCGATGGCAATTATGCCACGCTCCCAGGGTATATGTTTATCCCACAGTTCATTTGTATTAATTTCATTTGTAGAATTGCTATACTCTGTGTTCCACCACAGGGTATCCTGACTATTCCATTGAAGCTTCCCTATCTCAGGTTAGCAAGTTTAGTTTACTTTAACAGCGTAGATCCATACCAACTGTTGTTAGACATGAACTCTGACTGAATATAGTATGCCAGACAAGCACGAGATTGACCAAACCAGAGATGAAGGCAAAGAACGCCACAAGACGAGTGTGTATCCTTACTCTAGTCCTGGGATGGCCCCTCTTGGGGCTCGCGGGCAGGTGAGCCTCCCCTCCGTTCATAGGAAGTAGGTGATTGCATTCTTCCTGCAGTTCCATCATGAGTATCTTCAGTCGAATAATGAAAAACAGATACGGGCTGTGCTTCTGGAAGAGAAGGCTGTCAGGAGGGGAATATTTTCAGTCATTTGGTCTGGAATGCGCGCGCTCCGCCATCTACGTGCCGCCCTCCCCTTCCGCTTCCCCCCACTCCACCACCGGCCCCGCAGCTGAGTCGCCTTCGATGCAAGTCGGAAAGTGTGAGGCTGTGTAGTAGGATAGCTTCATGCATGATTGCCTCGCATAAGACTAGGGCTAATTGCAGCCGGCACTCAGCCACCAACAGGACGCACGTCGGCGCCGATTACAGCCTTGCGTCTACAAACAGTACTTCTGGTATATATCACTGTCAGAGGTAAGTCACTCTTTAATGGTACGAGGCGGCCTGACAGTTATATAACCCAAAACATTTGTCTGCCTTTCACACCACTAGTCACAGAACCGTTTTCGCAACGCGTTTATACTTCGAACTTATCATAGGCTCTTCGGGATACCCACGATTATCACGAACATGTCGGCTAGCAGCAACTGGACCAACCAACCCTTCGCCTTTGCTTCGAGTGGGGAAGTACTTACAGCTGGTTTCCTCCTGCCTCTAATCTGCTGTTTAGCCGTTAGTTTGCGTTTCTTTTCGAGGGTGCGACAGAAGGCGCCTATCGGCATGGATGATTGGCTCACATTGCCAGCAATGGTATTCTTATCCTTTCACCCAAAATTAGGCACTCTGAAGTATTACTGACCATCATACAGGTTCTGATAATTGCTATGGGAGTGTGCCTGATCTATGGTGGGCGACATATGTCAACACTGGATCACTTTGTCCTTCTGCTTACATCGGCTAGGATTTGCAAAGAAAGTTATGGGCTACCCCACGCCATTTCCAGCGGGAAGTGACCCACAAAGCGCCATGTCGCGGTATATGAAAGCATATGAGACCGAGGCCAAGGTCAGTGCTTCATTAATGTTCATTAGGCGCGCTTACTGACTTGTCAATAGATTGAGTTTTATTATCAGCTGTTTATGATTCCAGCATACGGCTTCATCAAGCTTAGTATTATCTTATTCTATCGGCGTATTTTCCTCGTAACCAAGAATTCAAAGCTCAGTTGGGCCTTCCACGGTCTTGTTGGCCTGACTGTTGTTTGGACCCTCGCATTTTTCTTGCTTTTTTTGTTCGGATGCAGAGAGAAGATTTACCTTCATTGGGCCCCGCTTGAGGAAGTAAACAATCAATGCGGTAATCCACTCACAGCGGAGTCGGCCCTTGTCATTTCGGACCTCATAATGGATCTTATGATCTTTTGCTTACCCCTACCAATTGTTCGTCCTGCACACTGTCCACTGTCTTGATACGGATGTTGTCTAACATACTTCGTACGTGGTGTAGATCTGGGGTCTCCAAATGCGTCTGGGCCAGAAAGTAGCGCTCATTGGAGTCTTCTGCGTGGGCTTTGTGTGAGTATAAACTCCTTTCTGGCAGACGGTCAGAGGATGAGACTAACATCCGTTCACCATTCAGAGCTGTTGCGGCATCGATAGTACGGCTCGCAATTTACCTCATTGTCTACATGATTGGCTTCGACGCCGGATATGACTTGGACCGTGAGTATCCCTCGGGCAATCACTCATGAATACCCCTGGCTGAGTCATTCCAATAGAGACCGTCACGACGATGCTTTGGTGGAGTATGATTGAGGCTAGCTTAGGGCTTATAGTTGCTTGCCTACCAGTTCTCCGCCCCCTTTTCAGCAATATCAAGTTTGGCCGGACTCCACGCAAGGATCGCAGTGACGGGGTAAGTGAGGAGTCCCGACAGCGCCTCTTCACATTGGAACCATATCCTGCACCCGCATTCCGAACTCAGAGTAAGCCTGGTAGCTGGACCACGCCCTCCAACCCCTCACTCCATAGAGAGGTGTGACGTGGACATGAGATTAGCCAATCATGACGGCCACAGACAGGGGTTATGTGGAGGTAGTAAGACGATCGGCGGTGGGTTGGAGGGGGAGAGAACGATCAAAGCTATATCCGCATTTCCCATAATAGAATCTTGCGCGACACAAATATATGTTTGTCTACTCTGCACGCCCCACATATGTGATTCATGACACATGCAGCTCGTTTTCAGTGTGATGGAGACTGCCCTATCAGGTTCCGATATGTGGATGACACTAAGGCACTAGTACTTGGTTGCGCGGGAGCGGGAAAGCGGCAATCATGCGGTTGTTGTCGATCAATTCCGTGGCTAGGTAATGCAGCCGGGCCTTGTTTGACCCCTGTTCCTTAACTGCGCAAGCGAAGTGCTACATGCTTATCATGCATCAGTAGTTCCCAACAAACTCGGACGAAGTCCGTGATGTCTGACTCTGTATTGACCTACTCAGCCTTGCAAAGTCCAGAGGCACGGACCGCGAGCAGGAATAAAGTGCGGATCCCGAACAACATTCTTCTCAAGTGAACAGAGCCTTGGATAATTGATGACATAAGTACATAATGTATCTAACAAATAAAATGACTGTAAAGCCCTCTGAACGGAACACATATGCTTTAGTATGAGCACTTGAAGGTGATCCGATTTGCTATTGAAGATATTGCTGGCGTTTTCTAGAGCCGTGCTTGTTGTCTGTTCGTAATTGGTGTCTCGACGGTGTCTCACCCTGTCCCCCTCCAATTCACATCCATGGGGGCTTCCAACCTTATCGTTTCGCGCGTCTCTCTAACATCTGAAGGGGAATGGGATGAGCTCATTGCCGGCTACTGGGCTTCCTGGCTGGACCCGTTCCAGGCTACAGGAGAGCTCACGTTCGCTGATTTAGGCACAGGAAGTTCGGCGGAACAGAAAGCATTTTCGAAGCTCAGAAAAGATCTATTGAGTCAAGCACGATCAGATCCAGATAACACAGTATGGCTCAAATGTGTTGATGTCCAACTTAAGCGTATCATTGGCGGTGGGATGTACAAGATCCATCGGGCCAATCCCTATAGAGCAGGTGCACCCATACCGGTCGCTGACTGGTTCCCCGATGGGAGCGAGAAACGGGCACTCGCAGAGGCGATGTACAGACAGCTATGGGCGTGGAGAGCCAGATTGATGACGGAAAAACATTTCTGTAAGTGCTTTGGCAACACGAAAGTTAATAAATTAGTGACACTCCCTAACATCGAGTCACAGGTGGCTGCGCACTTTGGACCCTGCCAGAATATCGCTCTCAAGGGGCTGCAGGCCTTATACTTGAACGATTTGTGCGGCATGCGGACGAGTTCCAAATGGAAGCATACTTGGAGGGGTCCGAGATGGCTGTCCGACTCTACGAGCAGTACGGATTCACCGTTGTCTCTGAGGCAAAAATATGTTTCGAGCCCCCAGATGGGACATCAGGCAGTGCGGATTGGTGGCGGCTTGTTCATGACCTACAGTCTCATCCCGTCAGTATTATGTGGAGACCAGTAGGTGGGCAGCAGGGAGTGAAGTATCCATGGGAAAAGGATGGTCCGCAGTCAAAATTGTAGATTTCAGTCTCTCTGGTACTCATTTTCTTCATCTCGTTTTTCATTCAGATGTCTGCTGTTATAATATTTTGTCTGGCAAAGGTAGTATGGGATGGTCATTACGCATATAGTTCCCCTACGAATTAGCAATTATCAATCCACATCTTAGCATATCCTTCGGACACAGTTCTCGCGGGTCTGACGTACAGGAATGTCATGGTTTAGATCATTCCATTATTGCGAGGATCCTGAAAGTCTCATATCCACCTTAGCTTACTAGGCATGCACGATCTGAATTGTTGAGCTCAGAATTCTCGTCTTTTACCGGATGATTTAGCAACTCTACATGTGATGAATTCACGAAGCGCACCAGGAGCGGGTTTTAAATCATTACGCTGGTTCTAAGCTACGGTCTGCTCTAACACCATACATCTACTAAGGAGTATGTCAGACGGCATGATTCATAGCCTTGTGCCAGTTGTAATTATTTCAGTTCATATCACACATTCCTTACGAGATAATGGGTAAGAAATTACTGGCCATCCAGCTTTGTTGTTTCCGTCGGGACTGAAACTATTGTTATGTGTATATCTCAGAGGCTTCCACTTGGACTATAGTATTCGCATGATTCGCTTTTGGTATTATATGAAAAATCATCGAAACACTCACTACCAAGGTCGAACACACACCCCATGATGCTTCAGAGTAAGCACTTCAACACATCTTCCTCATGGACTCCAAGATGGGGGCGAAGATAATGGCCATCGTAAATCAAAAGATAAAAAACATACAACAGAAGGGATTCGCTGGTGGTCACCCACCCAACTAGTAACCTCCCGGCGTGTGGCTTAAACGCGGCCAATACCCCTGTGGGTGCCGCTCGCGTGAGCCAAGGGTGAGCGCTGCTTTACCGTCGCGCGACCGGGGTGAGCTAGGGTGAGTACACAATAGTCGGGGTAACCATGCTCACCCCGCTCATGCTTACTGATGTAATAAGATCAATCCAATGCTACTGCCTGGAGCACTGCCTTCCTTGGCTGCATGGACACGGACTGGAATGGAATAGGTAGATATATTGAGACAAAAATCTGGAAGTCCCTATAGACTACTCCGTACTCCGTACAGAGTAAGGATAAAGATCCATATATCAGAATCCTGCTATCTACTACCGAGCCCCAATTTCTTCTTTCAGCCTCGCCTTCCTCTGTGGCGCTTAGATTGCTACCAGCCAATTAAGCCTTCCTCATGCTTCCCTACTGTTAGTTATATACTTAGCAGTTTTATAAATTAATAAAGGCATTAGCTTTCATAAAAATATGCGTAATACTAGGTCTTGATGGGGCGCGCGAGGCACGCTCTAATACTTCAAACCGAGAAATGATTAGGGGGGGGTTTACTGGAATGCATAAATAGACTACAAATACTACCGTAAAATCCCTCCAATTGTTACAGACCCCTGCTAGTTAACTACTAGCGAGGCGGACTCGCCAGGCAGGAAATGCTGATAAAGACAGCGCTCGGGCAATCAATGACTCTTATCTAATAGAATCTCAGATTACAACTATGATGCCCAGAACAGCCACGTGTCACATGACCACATGGGTATATGGAATAGACTTTGGATTTGTATATAGTATATAGATTATAGTATATACAATAGTATATAATAAGATATATAGAGAATAGAATATATAAGAATACTCTCTCATATACTTAGCTAGTTCTGTTCTTCGTGTTTAATATAACTATCTTTAAGTAATTATATATTTAGAAGCTTGGCTACAGAACGCTTGTCTGCATTTAGTTACAAATAGCTGCGAGGTACTATTCAGTCTTACTTCTCTTCTCTTGTCTATGACCAGGTTATCTCTCAGATAATTATCAATCGATACCTCCTCGACATAGTTCGACGGTATGTATACCAACGGGGCTAAGCTAACAGGGACAGGGAAGCGATCCTAGGGTTTGACACCCAAGTTACCTTTGCTTTAATAGCTATGTAGTTATCTGTTATAGTTATTTCCTTCTTAAACTTAAAATCAGCTGCCGTAATAATTATATAGCTATTTTTTTTTTCAATTCATTGTTCTGTCTGTTGAAAGATCCTCAAGATCTAGAAATTACGGATTTACTAAGATATCTAATATCTACTTGGTTATACCCACCGATTGATTTGCTTCCATTCACAATCGTGTCCCCGGTATTTTCTGGTCTTTGGGGTGCTCTTCTTGCTAAGTATCGAAAGACTGCCGGGCTTGTCTTGTTTGTCTCGTCGGTTTTCACGGCTGCCGGAATAGCCATGCTCGGTACGCTCTCCGATGATAATCTTCGTCTTGAAACCAACCCATATGTGTTTGAGGTAATCTTAGGTATGTAATTAGGCCTCATGATGACATCCATCTTTTTCTTCATCGAAGTAGAATACCAGGAATTAGATTTGCGTTAGTATTGTCTTATTTTATCAGACTCGGTCAAAATGAATCGTATTTTGCTAACCTCTCTCAACTAGCTGCGATAATGGGAGCAACACTGCTCGCACGCAAGGTGGCTGTGTTGCTGTTGCCATATGCTCTGCCATTCTACACGCTGATCTCAAATCGTACCTCTAGTCTTTTCTTTCACCAGGCCAGATCGAGGCTGTCCTCAGCTCGACGTCCGACGGCTCGATATTGACCGGTCCCGAAGAGGCTAAGGTACAGTTAGCATATGGCGAAAGCTATGATACCCAGTTCCATGCTTTACTGGCATTTGCAGAACTCGATTTGGTGGCCTCGGCTCTCTTGTTGATTGAACGGCGCAGGAAAGGTGGTTGGCGCTCGCCGAGCCAACGGAATACTCAACGGATGACAGTTGCTTCTCATGAAATGACCGCTATCTAGTAAAAGTGTGCACAAGTACCATTAAGGTTGTGAGAATGAATTTTCTATTTTTATTTTCTTTTCCTTTCTTTTCTTGCACTTTAAAACCCTGAAGTACAGTCAAATATCTTCCATTTGCAACATGAAAGCGCGCTATCTAGCCAAATATTGACAACGAACAGGAACCGGAGCGCTATACTCTAGTTAATGAATCACTTGCTGAAGGTATTCTTCAGAGTATACCAGCTTGCGAGTGCGATAAATCGGGCCTGAACCATCACGGCGCCGCGATAGCTCCATGCAAAGCGTCCAGCAAGCCACATCGATCCGAGAGCCACAGACAAGGCCAGCCCACTGACAGCGTAAAGATCCCAATTCTTGACTTTAAAGGCTGACATGCGCATATCAGCCGTCTGCAAGTGCATTGGTCGCAATTCCTTGCCATCTTCGAACCGCAGCTCATTGTCGTACATGAGCTCCTCAATGAGATCGGCGGCATGATACTTCCGGCGAGCAGCGACATGCGCAATGCGCTGTAGACGCACCACATTTCGTCGATACATTCCGTCTTCTGATTTGAGAATCTTTTTCGCTTTCGTATAAAGCTCATCACTTGTAAAACCGAGCTTACTCAAAGCCTCAGCAACGCCACCTGCGACGAGACGAGCGGTATTGGCGATTTGGTCGGAAAATATACCCATTGATAGCATTGGCTTTCCATGGTAAAGACCCTCATTGGCACTGGATCCTCCACCATGTGTGAAGTAGAGCTTAGTAGAGTCACTGTCGAGGATAGCCCGCTGAGGTGCAAAAAAGGGGAATATCCAATCTGGATGCTTGTTATCAAGTAAGGCTCCCAAGGTTATTTCATTTGGACCATCCGCGCCTAACGAGAACGAGGTGCTGATGTTCCTCTTATTAGATGAATATGTTTACTCAAATAGGGGCAAATCTTACCTGCGGTCAAGATCTGCTCGGCACGTCTGACCCATAGCCCAAATGACACCATCGATCAATCCTTCCTCCTTCAGACAATTCACGCCCTTCACTATAGTCATGGCATCCCTATGAGGGAGAATAATATGTGTGCCAAGAGCGATATAAAGAACTGATTTGTGCTTGGCTAAGAAGGCACCACACTCGTCGTCTAATTGTGGATAAGAAGGACTGAGGAGAGGGCCCACAGGGGCAGCGGTTGGCGGTAGATCTCGAGGAATTTCTAGACCGAAAAATGAGTTAACAAAGATGAGATAATCTGGTTTACTGGGCTTGTGGGGCGGATAGAAGACGCCAGCGTCGTTTCGCATTTTCTTGCCCCGCTTTTCTGCGCGGATGATAGCTGGAAGGTCCGGTAAGAAGAATATCTCATTCATGATACGCAGCCACATCGGGGTATCCTCAGAAGTCATGGTCCCTGGAAGCTGGAAGCCTGGCCGGCCCGGGATATACGGGCATGGTAACTGGAAGGAGGGCATATTGGGACACACAACAGCGATGGGTAACTTATATTCGACACGAATATCGTTAGCGGCTTCGACAAAGAAATCGGCAACGATCATGTCAGGTCGAGTCCCTGGGTCATTCATTATTTTTTTGAGACCATGATAGGTTTGAGGCCAGAATGAGTCAAAGAGATACTTGGATTCCATAGCTTGCCCGATGCCTTTGGAGATATCCCATGCCTGCATGCGCCGATAATGGCCATCAAGTTGTTCGTGGGTTGGACCGGGGCCTAAGTGGTGAACCTTTTTCACAAAATCATACTCTGCAGATTGAACCCAGCTCTCTTGCCCCTCAAGGGTTGCAAATTGAATGCCGTGACCACGCTCCGCGAGCGCCCGGCCAATTTCCAAGACAGGGGCTGTGCGAATCTCCTTTAGCTGTTGAAAAGGTTAACTGCCAAGCTTCGTCTTGTATGCTGCTTACTGGCATGTGTAAAGCCTCCAGTGGTAACTACTAGGAGAATGGTTCTAGATGGATGCACTCGCGAGTCACTCATTCTGGGATCTGAGCTTGTGTTGAGATGTCAGGCTGGAGCTATGAGGAACCTTTCGGAGTTATGACTAACTCTGAAAATAGCCAAGAGAGGAACAATGGAGGACTTAAGAAAACGTGGCCACGATTGCAATAGCGAACATTTGTGAAAGTACCCTCGGAAATCCCGTCTTGCTCGCCCTACAAAGCCTTAGAATAAGTAGGTCTCAAACATTCCAACTAAATCCTGTGGGAATGGCCCCCAAGATTAGGCATTACGGTACCGGAAGGTTTCAACGCGATTTCCGCCGAGTCAATCCGTCATTCGGATGTGGAGCTTAACTAGATTTTGTGGCCCCACTCGTGGTCAGACTCTATTTATTTTCGTTTTATGAATACAGAATCCTCCTCCGCCTCCTTAATAATACAAACTGTGTTCTTACCAGGAAGTTAATACAACAAACCAGATACAAAGATTGCAATGCCAAATAAGAAAACATATCAATCACTACTTTGTCTCACTACATTGAGTCTACCGAAAGAAATGCTACAGGAAACAAATTTTCTATCTAGCTTTCCGTATAGCTTAAAGTATTTTCGTATTCCCTTCAAGCTGTACATAGTGAAGCTTTTGTTTATCTTCTAGTTGAAAGACAACTCTGTCGGCCAGCTAAGTCGTCAAGTAATTAGCACGGAAATACGCCTCTTTTTATTCAGAACGTAATATATATGTTATAGGACGAACAGAGATTGATTGTCATATCTAAACGTGCCGTACAAACAAGAAAATTATCGCTAAAGAACAGGAAGTCGAGTAAGGGTCAGATGTCAACAAACGGGGCGAGAAGACGGTGTACAGCGGCAGAAGCGAGGTCCTATCGAGCTCCACCTAATGGTTCGTACAAGGCCTATAGAACCCATAACACACGGTGTAATAATAATGATAAAGAGATACATAAATAAATGGTAATAATATTTAAAAAGGAACTGCGCCTTTCGATGAAACTCTACAGGTGCTGGGACGAAAGGAAATGTATAGCATGGTGTTGCAATCACGCACATGGTATACCGCCACAATTCACCGTAATTAACGCCGTAAATATGGCTGGCTTGTCGAAACAAGACCCCCAACCGGTCTTACCAGATGCCCAAAATGCTTCAAGGACCTCCCGTAACGCCAGAGGCGCATATGTACCACTGTTTAGTCCTTGATTTGTGAGAGATTCACATACAAACCTACGAATTTCTCGACACCCCTCACCCACTGCTTGCACTCCCAGCACCATGAGGGGCCAGACCAGACATCCAGACCCAGCAACGCCGAAGCACGCGAGTACTTTGCGAACAAGCTCGTAAACGAGATCACGCAGTGTGAGGCAGATGCTGCTCAATGAAAAAGACTCTGGCAAGATTCTGCAATCCTGAAGAGAGGATATGCAGTAAAGGGAGACCGTGGCCTGAAACATGTTCACCACGTGCTCGAAGCCTTCATCCAAAGCATCATTGGCCATGACCCACTCCTTGGCAGAAAATCGGTTCAGTCTGCACAGAAGTTCGAGAGTCTCACAGCGGAGGTCCTTCCATTCTGCCAACTCTCGAGATGCTTTATTCCTCAACTGATTAATTTTAAGGACCTCTACCAATAGTGGTGGGGGGCACATTCGGAATGCAAAGCCACTTTCACCGTATTCCAAAATTATAAACTCGATATCCTCAATTGGTAAGGTTCCCACGAGCAGTCCCGATGTAGGAGAGGACGTGTCGCCCATAGTTACCAAGCTTTGTTAAAGTCAGCTTCATGATCATCCCGAGTGGATCCGTACTTACAAAATATAATCAAGAATAACGGGAATCATACCAGGCAAGCTAATTATCGAGCGCACGCCATTGCACCCCATAATGATTCTTCGAGCTCCCTCAAGGTGTAATCTAAAGGTGGACAGAAAGCCCTGTTGAATCTGGAGTATTCAAAAATGGGAGAGGAAATAAGCGCCATGTTGTTGTTTCGTATCTCTATACAAACTTACATCAACATGGAGAAGACACAAAATTCCAGTCAGAAGAAGAGTTTGTTTGTATTCACTGTCCTCTTTGATTTCGTCTTTTAGGGAGCGAATCGCTAGACCCCGGTATTCGAAAAGAGTGACTTGCAGAGCCTTGAACTCTAGGTGATTTGGGGAACGACACATTCTGTGGGTCAGAGCCATGCATACAAAACCCAGCCCGATATGGCTTGGGAAGTTGACCGTTTTTTGAAAGTATCCAAGCGATATGGGATAAATGTTCTTGTTGTAGTTTGACCGCTTGATCAACTTTAATAGAGGGTAAATACATCCATTATCTGTCCATAAATCAGCGGCAAGCCCGACTTAGTTTCGAGCAGTATGATTGCGCACAGTACTCAGTAGCTTCACGTATTGCATGTGCATTGGTTTTCATGCAAAACGTGGACAATGGCATCTCCTGGTAGTGGTTGCCAGACTGACCCCGTTCCAGGTCATCTCTTCGATGCTCAGTTCCTGTGTGTTTACGTTGTCGAGACTTGGTTTTTGACGGTGTGAATAGTTTCACTTTCAAGGGTGACGTTTCCCCATACCCAGGGCACTCAGTTCCCGATCGTGCGCATCGATTACATGCAGGGCGAGTGAAGTCACACACTAATTTTAGCCGGCGGCACTCCCAGCAGTGCCTTTTAGAATTGCCTTGCATTTGCAGATATTGATTACTGAACAGTAAAAGCCTTCGGCAGAAATCGGGGCAGTTGAAGTGCGAACATGGAGTCCAGGAATTGTCGGTTCTTGTATTGATTAACTACGGTAGAATTAACTAATCAAATCACGGTTAACCGGCCCATAATAACTTTCCCCCTCCCATTATTCGGTTACTGAACAAGCTTCCTGTATCTCACGTCATATAATTTACGCTACTTCTTCAGATCGAGAATATTTGAAACAAATCAGTAATTCACTAATATAAGCAGAAAGCGTCCCTGCCCTGGTGAGAGTTGTGTCTTCTTCGCAGTATATTTTAGGCAGTCCAATGGCAACCCTCGACTTTGATGCAGCCGGCCTCCAAACAGCCCCCAAATACCTCTGTTCTCCGCTTCGAAACCCGTTCTGCAAACTCTGGCCCTCATGCTCATCTCGAGTTTCATTTTTGGATGTCATCGAGTCATGAAGTACCCTGGTAGAGACTGACATACACGTATTGCCTCTACCTTTCTTTCCTTCTCTTTCGTGACGATTTGCAATCACAGCCTCAATACTTGGCACTCAACTTTCCTAACTAGGATGCGAGGCTAGTAATGGTGCAACTCGGGCCTCCAGCACTGCCTCTTCGCCGCCATTCCGTACCCACATGACAACGTGTTTGATGACGACTCTTACGTGCGCCCGCCAATGAGAGATGATGACTCGAATATTGCTATTGCAGGAAATCCGGATGATGCGCGATTTTCAGGATGTTAGGCAGTAACATTAGGCAACGTGACCGGCAAGCGAGTCAGCCACCTGTGTGTCCCATACTAATCCAACATTTATCTAACTCCAATATCTCAGCCGCCGTTGGCTCAATTACAACAAAATATTAGCTGAAGCTATGTATGTCCTTATTTATATATAGCTATATGGTATTATTTGGCTTTACTTCTCTTTTTATATCTGTAAGTAGATTATCTCTCAGACAATTATCAGCCAATACCTCTTTGATATAGTTTGACAGTACGTATACCAACGGTGCTAAGCTAACTGGGACAGGAAAGTGATCCTAGGGTTTGACAGCAGGCTGCACAAATATCAATCTTTGATAATCTATAAAAAATGTTGATATAAAAAATGTTGAATATGAATACTATCATGAATAATCCAGTCATGAATTATCCTTTAGTTTCATTTTTACAAAATGAAAAGGTAAAAAAATATTGTATTTTTTTTATTTAATTGTGAAAAGATAACTGGCAGGAGTCCGTAACAAAAGCGCCGATAAGGGCAGCGCTCGGGCAAAACCAAATTGTTATTTACAGAAATAAGATATAAGGTACTGAACAAGACTACAGTACTCTTAGAACCGTACTAGACTTTGTAAAAGTATCACAGAGATTTTGAAACTGTGTGTTACGGAGGCTGTAGAACAAAATACTAGATAACTAGACTAATATAGATCTTGATAAGACTCCAAATTTGAGGAAAATAATAGTTTAATGTATACAAGGAATATATAGAAAAGATAGATAGAGGGATCCTGTATATTGCTTTAATTTGCGAGGGGTCAGAGTATGAGTACACACACACACACACACACACACACACACACACACACACACACACATCCTGTAGCAGGAATTGTTACATACAATCATGGTATCACAAATCATGGCCACGCAGTAACAGCAAGGTCGTCCATCATTGGACTGGCTCGATAGTACACGAACAATTGCCAGCGTAGCCGGTGAAAGCTTCAGATACGCTCACCAGCCTTCCATAACAAAAACAAGCAGCTCAAATTCCCCCACCACCACACTAACCCGCGAACCTGACTCCAGTGCCGATGCCCAATTAGGATATAAACCGCTCCGTAAACGGCGCGGGCGAGGGTATAAGACGCGGCAGCGGCATTAATAGTCTGCGCGGGTACACCTGCATGCGATGCCGAAAGCACGCTTGCGACCAATAGCGTAAAATTCTCCACTGCGTTAGCATGCGCCGCCTCATTGCGCTTCAGCATGTCCAGCTGCGCGCGGGTGATTTTGCCATTACGAACGGCGGCCTCGCCGTATTTGGAGAGGTCTTCGCGCGGCGCTTCTTGGTGGTCAATTCCGTAGAACTGTTTCAACGTGCGACTGGAAAGTAAGCCGTAGGCGAAGAAGAAGTTGAAGCCTAGGAAGGCAGGGCCGTAGTTTGTGATTGGGGTGGTGGGGGGTACGGCGCGGAGGCCGAGGCATGTAAAGAAGGAGCTCATTTTGGAGATGTGGAATAGACGTGGGTGGTAGAGTCGAGAGGCTAGAAAATGAGGGGAAGAATAGGAGGAAGAAAGTGGTTTTTCTGTGTATGTAAGCTGAGGGGAACACTCGTTTTTGATGAGGACAGTCTTACGCCGCCACGTTCCATTATCCTAACAACCTTAGACCTCCACCTTCGCTGACTCTCAAGCGGGTGACCCTTGCCGACCCTCATGGGTCCTTATTTTGGAATTTTTGCGCTTCACCTGATTCAGCTAAGTAGTTTACTGACTGAATCTTAATATGACCAAAAGGTTTTAAGTTACGATTACCTCAGCCCTAGTCCCAATACGGCAATATATGTGCCAAGACATTGCAACGCAGTTCTCCACATCGCCGATCCTACGGTATGACCATTTGGCTGTGTTCGAACGGCCCCCCATTTTATCACCATCCAGTTGGATGGAAGGTTACAATTGATGTCACTGCTGGCCATTTTGATCAAATGACAAGTGGATTGATGCATACTTGCCGTCTATATAAAGAATATACCTGCCCTCCCTGTCAAGTTCCAAATCTGAAGGAAAAATCAATATTGTATCTTCTAGCCAAGATGACGACTCAATATATTCATGGAGAGGAACCGGAGCATACAGACGGAGGCTACTCCACTGGCCAGCCGATGGCTGCTTTAAAGCCTCTTGCATACCATCAAGCGGCTTATTCCCAAACCTCGAGTGAAAACAACACTTCAGTACAGCAAGATTGCTACAATGACTTCTCTTCTCAATACGCGAAGGAAGTAGCTTGCCCAGAATCGAACATCAATCTCCGCGGTGTGGAGGACTGCAAAAGAAACGCCAAACCTGCCAGATTCAAGCCGTGCGCCATTCCTCGTCAGTGCAGCCCTTTGATTGCCTGGAATACAGAACTAATGCGTTCATAGAGTTGAACAAGCTTTGGTGGGGAGGAGCTAATGCGAATCCCTTTGTGCGCGCGTGGGCACCCCCACTGACTCTACACGGCATCTCGAAAGGGGAGTTTCTCAGATTCATCGATGGACTGAACGAAGCCTGGCTTATCAATCCATCACTAAATTACTTTAGTATGGCAACTGGGCTCACTGGGTTGGCTCTGACCTTTGAGCCACATATAGGCTCGGCCTTCGGGGCTACATCATTAGCAGCAACGGCTGCTGCCGCGGTGGTTACGATGCAACGTACAAAAAGTTACTTGAAAACTTGGAACGAGACACTATTCAATCCCGTCCGCTTACAGGCAAGGGTACTCAAAACAGACAGTCTAATGCATGTTATTGGGTATAAGGGGGGTAACGCATGGGAGCGATATGAACATAATATACAGGGCAGCCAGGAAGTGGAGATAGGGCCAAACAATGATACCAAGGATCGATCACTAGAGAAGGTACAATCTGACATTCACAAAATCCTACAGAGAAAACTAGAGCCGATAGGCTCGTATGTCATGCCCCTCACTTTTGATGCTGGCCCCTCTGTTCAAATGAATGGAGTGATGAAGAAGTGGGGTGCTACGGAGAGTAACCGGATTGAAAAGCTGCAACTTAAGATGATGCAACATGGAGAGAAGAAAAGAGCAGAGAAATTCCAAAAAGAGCACCAGACAGCGGAGAACCTACGAATGCAAATCCAAGAGCTCACCATTCTCGGGGAGAAGGAGAGGGTGATAGCGAACTTAAAGCAAAAGCTTGAACATGTTGAGAAGGATATTGGAAAAAGTTACGACAAAAAGATCAGAAAAACTGGGAAAGAGGCGGAGAGGGTTCGTTGGATAGTTATCACTAGCCTTGAGGACGCATCGGTAGAAAGGCTGGGCTATGTTGAAGAGTAATCATTCTCATGTTCTTGCCAAGATGAACAAAAGAAAAGGGGAAAAGAAAAAAGAAAAAGAAAGAATTATAACAGGACACATTGGAGATTCATCGATGACAATAGGAATGTCGTGAGAGTCAGAATATTTTTCTAGAACGTTTTGCTTTGAGCTTTAGCTTCGGCTTCACAAATCACCGGGAGATCTATCTAGTGCGGATACTGTAGGAGGTTCCTAAGACCCGGAGAATTGTATAGATTACTTAAGGGGGGTTCAGTGTCATTTTAGTATCGTCGAAAAAACAACCTTGAGGCGAAGATCGAAGACGTTACCCCACGATAAAAATAAAAAGGGCCTGTGCCTCTCCGTCAGAAGGAATCACACCATAGCATTGAACGTTTCCCAGAAATAATTGTGGCCGTTTCCTTTCTTCTTTCCTGGCATTGATATCCATCGGAGAACAAAATAGTAAATCAATAAGTGCTTCATTGCTATCTCGCTCTTAGCCCCAGACTAGTGGAGTTAAGAATGAAGCAGCGCGTATCACGGTCTTGGGGTATTATCAATCTCTGCCGCAGGAAGAATTTCGACAGAAATATTGTTCTCTTATTTGGAGATTAGACAGCTGGATATCCAGACGTGCCCCTAGCAAATTGCGTCTTCCAGTGCTTTCTTGCTTTGTCAAAACCCTAAATCTATATTTATCATCTATCCACAACTCTCTGCACCGATATACCCCAACACAGGTACCGTCAATCTAAACACGTTTGCCGGGTCGAACTTGGCCTTCAGTGCTTTTACCAATTCCACCTTCGACCCATACGTCTTTCTTAGAGCTTCCGCCGACGAGTTTGCCTGAGCAGTAGCATTATACAAAGACACATACGCCCAAGGTAATACATAAGTACGGTCGGCCAGTCTAGTGTCCTCTGCTATCTGAGCAGCCCACTTCTCCGACTCTTCTTGCAGGCTCTTCTGTACAGTGAACCCCAGAAATTCCAGCATATAGTGGGGCTCCCTGACCGCAAAAACAGAAGAAGAATGTCCTTGCGGCTCCGTTGACGGCCCACGAAGCTGATGAATAGACATCATGGTGCCCGGGTCGGATGGCATACAGGCGAGACTTTGTCCGATAGTCTTGGCAATGGCTGGAGACACACGGCTGACGCTATGTGTGTAGGCAGAACCGGAGGCCGCCAGTGGGACAAGGGGCTCATTGCCACTAAACCATTCCGGGATGTTGGTGGAGGCGACGGTATTTAGCAGGAGAGGGCCAAGATTGGCGATTTTCTTGCTCCAGCGTTGGCCTTCTATGATGTCGGCACCGCTCCAGGTGAAGATGGCGGCAAAGCAACGTCCGGTATGAGCATTGAAGGCCATTTGCTGGACTGTGAGTTGCGGTGGTAGCCCTTCAGCATCGAGGAGCCTTTCATAGGCGGTGTTAAAGTCGATGCAAGTTTTAATGATGTTGGAAGATTCGAAAATGATAGCCCCGGCCAGAAGCTAGAAGAAAGTCCAGGGTCAGACTCATTATAGTTAGGTATACTATACGGTGATGCTTACGCTAGTGAGCGGGTAAACCTTAACTGTGAGGTCAATAATAATACCGTAAAGACCACCAGCGCCGCGGATACCCTGTAGAAGAGATTCGTCGGCTTTGACAATATCCCCTTCGGCGTTTACAATAGTTGCACCGAGAATCTGGTCGACTCCCAGGCCCCAGTGCGAGGAGAAGGGTCCATACCCGCCGTAAGTGGCCCAGCCAACGTAGCCAACGGACGGGATTGCTCCTGTCGGGGTGCCTAGGCCCTCTGCCCAGAGCTTTTTCCCGAGCTCAACTTGGAGGGTTCCACCTTGGACGATGGCAGATTTGCGATCTGGAGCGACAGTGACGGCAGTCAGGGCACGCAGGTCGATAAGCAGGGCATCTTCAACGAGTGTACTTCCTTCCAAATTGTGGCCGCCCACGCGGATAGTGAAGGATAGGGAGTTGGATCTGGCATATTTAACAAGAGCAGTGACGTCTGATGGGGACTGCGGCTGGACGATAGCCAGGGGGTTATCGCGACGCGCGCTATTAAACACCTTGCGAGCAGTGGAGTACTCAGGCGAAGACTGGGGCGTATATTTGATCGCGGGATAGCCTTGAAGAAAGGCCTCTAGGGCGGCTAGCTGAGTTGAATAAGTCATAATAGGTAGAGTTGGGACGTAAGATGGTGAACCAGATCTTAGGTGCCTGATGCTGACGGGAGTCGGCCATTATATACAGGGTAAAATCTACTTAATGTCTTGGCGTGAATATTACTGTAAAAGGTTTGGGGCTTGAATGTTTCAACTCTTTACCGGAATAAGTAATTCATTAGCCAAGAACAGGACACACCAATGAAGTTTAACAAACATACAAACCCTTGGCCTACATGTGAGGCTGTGTGGTGGAAAGTATAACCACGTAGCCAAGTGGATAGGGGCAATAGACCCACGATGTATGAGAAGAACAATAGTAATGCCGTAGTAAATTTCTGTCATTCGTTAATCCATAATTAGTTTTTTCGACTGGGGGATGCTGATTCTGATTTAAAAATCCCCCTGGCTCCATTCGGGTAGTACATATTCTTGGCCTGAATAGGAAGGAATCACCACGTTTAGGAGTTACACAGGATAGAAGAATATGTACCATGGATAGTTGAGAATCTGGTTACCATTGATATAGCGGGGGAGCACTCATGGTTTACGTGGTGACCTTTCTGTCTATTTTTAATTTGTTTTAATGTGTCTAGTTCCCTCTTACCGACCGTGTTTGCTGATACAATTCTGATTTCTGGCCACTGAGTTGAATATATGGCTCATCTGGTCGTTTGTTCAATTAGCGATCATAGTCTTGGCTATGCCTGGGCATCAGCCAAGGAATTCGGCACAGTCAATTCCCTTACATTCGGCCTCACAGTCTCAAAAGGGACAAGTGTTATTAGAAGGTGCATCTCAATTCTTGTGCCCAGCTTAGCACGGGAGCAAAGGCAGTGCCAATATTGCAAACCACGGATCGAAAAAACGGTGGAAGACATGTATGTCCCTCAAAATACAAACGTGGTATGATTCGTAGATGCTTTTGTATGTTTTCTAAGCTGAATCAAGTTGTTACAAAAGCCGATGCGGGTCTTTCACAGTTGCTAACGATGCCAACCTCGAGGCCGAGCTTGGTGCCGAGTACGAAGCCAAGGTCAAGTACGAAGGCTCCGCATAGTGGGAAAGCATGCCTACTACATGGTCACCACCATAAGAGCCAAAATCTTCTGCGGGTATTACATAAGCTAAATGCAGTGGTTACAAACGTCCCGGAGGGTGCCCTAACTATGCAGCCAGCAAGTCACGAGATAAGTCACCAGACTGCGGTATGCATGGAGGCCCAGTAAAGACTGGCGTTGTCTGTACTTGTACGAATGGCGTCACAAAAAAGACTTCCTACCACCGCGATTTGCCCATTGACGATACCCCGCCCAAAAGGACCATGACGCTCTCTGATATTACAAACGGAGCACTCGTCCGCTACGTCGTCGATTGTGTTAACGTTCGACGTTTACTCAGCACGATAACAGAAATATATAGGCCTCTGCTCCTGCCCTTGTAACCGTCACAGCCTGTTATCTCTCTCAATTTTATAACGGTCTTCCCAACACTCGTAGAGTGGTTAACGGCCAGGATAGGGTAGGTTAATAGGAAAGTCTATACCGTCCGTCAGGTTAACAGTTAGGTATAAAACATATATATACCTAATCTAGGTTAACCGCGGTTGACCGTTATACCTGACGGTTAATAGATTTTTATACCTTAACCTACCCGTCAGGTTACGGTTAAGGTTACGTTAAGGTATAACGGTTAGGTATAACCACTCTATATCTGTTCAGTGCCTGGCTTGCTAAGATTATCAACTACTTAAGTATAATTTACTTATAATCTAAGCTATATTACTAGTGAGCTTCTGTAGTAGAGTAAAATCTTTAACACGATTACTAGGACAGTTCTTATCCATGTTATTATCTGGACGGCCTATGCCAATGACACCTTCGCGTAGCAGGAGATTTATATCTTCAATTACGAGCTCATACACACAATTCCTTGATGAGAATAAGGCTACGCGTTTCCATGTCACCACGAGAATCCCAAATGGAGCGAATAGAATGCAACATCAAAGCCAAGAAAGACATGAAACAAAAGTAAACCAAAAAAGCAAATAAAAACATACAACAGAAGGGATTCGCTGGTGGTCACCCACCCAACTACTAACCTCCCGGCGTGTGGCTTAAGTACGGCTGAGCGGACGGGAAGCCCTGTTTTCCACACCCTGTGGTCGTATGTGGTTGATTACTCTGCCTTAAGAATTCTTATCGTGTTTTGCAGTCCGATACTAGTCTACTATCAGACCCATCCAACAGAGTAGCATCTGGATCCTCTACAGCATGGCCTGATAGGCCAGGGACTCGGTCCGTTCTATTACATTCATACAGAAATACAATGATGCTATTTGCGTGAATACATTTTTTTCATCGAATTTTCTTTTCCGTTCATCTAATATCGAAGACCAGCTGCGTAAGAATATAATGGGTATGGGACGAGTCGGTATGCATCTACATGCCGGCGCCCCAATTAGAACAGGCAGGGTTCTAAGGAAAAGTGAGCCACAAGGCACACCACAACCTCGTACAACTCGATAATCCTACTTGATACAAGTTTTACAGCTTGATGCAGTATTGCCTAGGATTGAAATAAGCTACAACCAGTGAAAGTTGCTGTGGCAGCGTAGTAAGCCGCCATTTGTTCCTCAACCTGGAACTCACCATGTTAGGATCCATTCGGAAAATTTCTTTGTCTCGACCCTTCATTCGTCGACTTCCCCTTACGTCGTGGCAAATAAAAAGCGTGTGAGCAATGACACCAGTAACTTAAAACACGGTCTGGTCAACACAATACCTTGTCAATATCACCTCAAGGCTTTCCTGGCAAGCTACCCTCTTCCATGTCCTCGTCCTTGTCTTCGTCCTTGTCCTCGTTCTTGTGCCCAGTGGCCACAAACCCACCACGCCTGAAATCCTTCTCCTCTCTCTCCAACCCATCATATTCCTCCGGGGTAAACTCGTAGACTTTCAAGTGCTCGGGAATATCCTCGTATGTAATATTTTCTGTGGCCCACAATTCCCATAGCTCCTCTCGGTGCTCCCGGGGCACCCCGTGTTTGATGTGGAAGGCATATCCACAAAACATAATTTCGGTCACATTCTCTCCGGGCTCGTGTATTTCTATCTCTCCTTCTAGCTCCATATGTTCGTCGTCACGGTCCGTTTCTGCGACTGTCTCAGGGTGCTTCTCCATATTCAATAGCAAGACCTGTCATATGTCAGTGGGATTCTGGTAAGCGCGGTCCACAGCGGCTATTGTCTGACAGTAGGGATGTCTGGGTAGGATTACGCGAAGGGGATAGCGGTTTCGCAGATTAAGGTGTATGAGGGCGGTGATTTGGTGGAGGATTCAGTAGTGCTGTCTAGATTAACGGAGTGCAAAGTTAGGGGTCAGAATAGCCATTAAATAACCTTGAAACACTCTTTAGGCAGCAGAGTTGCAGGGGTTGGCCGAAGATTGATGTAACCTTTTCGGCAGTCTCCGCAGCTTGTACACTTTGGGGCACGGTATCTGCGACAAGGGTACCTCAGTATCCCGCGGCACAAAGAGAGTATTGGGAAGGACTGTCAGGTCTCACTCGGTTTATCAACCCCAGTTAGTCAGGTTGCGGTCCACGGTGATCATGGGCGTTGTTCATTCACCTAAATGGGTAAACCTAGTTCAAGTCGGTAGTCGACGTTGCTACCTTCCAGGATACATGTGGTGCAATGTTGATGATGAAAGGAGTTACAGGTCTATCATAACAATATTGGAGCACGTAGCACAACAGGGGCATATATGGCTTAGTATGAGGCAGTCCCCCATTGATACATGCGGCCTACCCATTAGCGCTGTGTTGCATACGAGGCTTTTCCTTTTTTTTAAACCAGATTCATTGAGACTATTCAAATTGGTGTCTGATCGGAGTACACTGCACTTTGCCGATAGGGTACGGGTCTAGAGTTTTACGTGACGGTGCGAGTGGTGCAATGGAGAATGATAAGACAACCAATAAAACAAAAAGGGCCTGACAGGAGTTCAAAATTGCCAATGCAGTGCCTGGTAGCAATATGTGGGTCTTCCGTTGTTCTTTGTGACCAATACATTTGTATTCATTGGCACTTTTGGGTCTCAGTTGACCCCTGTTTCTCTTTCATGTTCTGTTTAATTCGCTAGAAGAACCTCCAAGATCAGAAAGTCGTACACTATCAATGTATTGCTTCGGAAACATTATTCAACGAAGGTGTGATATGTAACTTCTACGCTCAATATTGTACTACTGAGACTAGTGCCTGCACAGAGTTTGGCCTATATCAGGCGCTAGTTTTCCGCGTCAGTCTTCTGGAGAAAGGCGACCTGAATCCACATCAACAATCTCAAAATACGATCTCAGAATACTTGTTTCCTTCCCCCATCATCAGACTTTCTAGTATGCTCACCCTTTCTTCTTTGGTGGTTATTCTAACCATCATGTGTTCCTTGGTGCCTGCTGTTACTATCCGCAACTACGAAGAACGCAATTGCCGAACTATCAGGGGTAGATTTGCGGCATGTCGGAATGCCGCTGAGCGTGCGTGCTGCGACAACAGACCAGCGCCCACCTACTCATCAAGCAAATTCACCGGTCTGCCACCAACCGCCATAGGGTCTATATGTACTCACCTTCGGGGACAGAACTGTGGCCTCGTCAGGGACAGCGGTCATGGACTAAGCCTGTGTCTCAACTACCCCAAATCCCGTGGGGCATGGTGGTTCGATTGCCGTAACTGCCGAAGGCCGAATCAGCAGATTTCTGACCTGGATCTGGCCATGGCACACAAAGCGAACACCTCAGTCGAACCGGACATGATCGGCTTTGATGGACACGAGTTTAGCATCAACGAGTCTACACCGAAGGGTATACGGGATACGCTTCTTGCTTACTTTGACTCCGACACAACCTATGCCGATATACCCGAGGAATATCGAATCTACGAAGTGTTCGAGGATGCGGAGGATTAACAGGTTTTTTCACAGAACTTTTCGTTGGGGTTTTTTGGTTTGGTGGATATTGGTCCAATTTAATTCAACACCACTCATATCCTCATACCTGACTGACCCCGCTGTGGAAGATGCTAGCTATGCAGGTGCTTTACCGTCTGAAGCAGATCATATGGCCCGAAACGCCTCAAATCCCGCAGTATACAGACGTATCATATGGAAAAGGCGCCGCGGCGACGTAGGAAGATAGCCGCTATCGCTTTAAGCACAACCAAACGGAGGGCGTACTCATACGAAATTTAGAAATGTAAACAAGCGTCACATCTGACCAGCCGCCTGGCTAACTGCCCGCAAATCCGTTCCCTCCTTTTTCCGACCACGTTTCTGCTTCTATTGTTCTTGTTCCTTTATCTGCCGGATGTTCTTCCCCACTGATTCAAACGGTGTTTACTCGCTTCCTTTTACCCGGCATTTTCAGCATCTATCCCCGAGGGCCTTGGAACCACGTGTTTCTGGTTCAAGTCGGGTCCACTAGTTCAGGAACAGTATCGAGTTAACCTGGCTGAGCTGGCTGAGCTGCCCGAGCAAGCGTTTCTGCAGCATGATGCGGCTGCTGGATGCATGTGTGGGTGTCATCCGTGATTATTATACGACTAAATGAGATCCAGTGAATTCAACATCGTGGACCTCTTTATCTAGAATAGCGCACCGGTTCTCATGGAAGGGGAAAGCTACCGCCACATCGGCCAGGGTTTTTCCACATCAGACTACGCCCATGCCACACCCTGCGGCCTAGTTTAATAGTGAGGCTTAGACTCAATATGATAGAGCTTGTTCTTAGTGCGGGCAGCCATCTTGCAGTCTACATGATAAAGACAATTACCTGCCTGAGGTATGAATTTACTGCCTACAGCTACAACGAAACTTAGAGTTGGGTAGTATTACTCTACTCGTACTAGGAGCAGACTTTATCTTATGAGGTCTAATCCTTACCCTCTACGGTAAGCAGAAAGTAGGCAGGGGTGTGGCATGAGCGAATTCTTGTATGGAAGAAACCTCGTAGGCGTGGCGGTAACGCCCCCCTTCACTAAATATATGGTAGAAGATACCTACTCGCAACGGAGTAGATAGTAGGTATCAATAGTCGAGATAAGGACATGCGAGTCCTGAAAACGCGCAAGCAGCTGCAGGCCGCTCGGACTTCCTTTCCCTGTTCTACTTAGTTCAAGGGCGGGAAGAGTCAATCGCACATGAGTTGGTCAGGGTCTTGCTCGGCCCTACGGACTAGTGGGGTAGCCATTTAGACAATGACTGCCGCTTCTTCCGAGTTTATTTCTTTCGTCCACATTTTTCTCTCTGCCTAGCGTATAGATAATCTCTCTTCTCTCCCCCCTTGATGATAAACTTGATTGATCCATACATAAATAATTCATACATACCATGTCGGAAGCACCGACTTTCAACAAACCTTCCGCTCCATCTAACCTGGGGTATAACCAAGAGGAACAGCCAAACTCGCAGCAAACAAATTCTGAGCATGAGTCTCTCCTGCCGGATAGCGAGCCACGGGGGCCTCCAAACGCTCCTGTGGTCATACTTTGTATCTCCTGTATCACTTTTATTGGTTCTTATCTAGGTGGTCTTGTCACCGTGTCTGTTCCACAAATCTCCTCGGATCTGCACTTAAGTCCTGGAGTGGAGTTATGGTGTGTTACAAATCTTTGCGTTGTGGTCGCATCAAACAGAAGACAGAACTGACAAAGAGATGAAATAGGCCAGTATCAATGTTCGCCCTGGGAACAGGGTGCACACTCCTCATTTCGGGCGCCATCTCCGATGCGATAGGCAGTAAAACAACTCTACTTGCGGGATGTTTTCTACAGAGTGTTTCCTCGATGGCCTGTGGCCTCGCTCAAAGCGGAACCCAACTTATCATCTTCAGAATCATTTCTGGTGTCGCGGCCTCACTCTGTATGCCGTCTGCCATGAGCATCATTGCTGAGCACTTCCCATCAGGAAAGCTCAGGAATCTTGCCTTTGCCCTGATGGGATCGGGTCAACCCATCGGATTCGGTGTCGGACTTCTTCTGGGTGGTGTTTTTGCAGACACTGTGAGCTGGCGCTGGGGCTTTTACAGCGCAGCGATTGCCAATACCCCGGCCTTGCTCCTATCGGTACGGCAATTGCCCGCTAGGACCTCTGAGCAACAGGGTGTTTCATGGCGTAATATCTTCTTTGGGATTGACTGGATCGGGGCTCTTACTGCAAGTGCTGCGCTGGCTCTACTTTCATATGCTTTAGCGTTCGTATAACCCAAGGTCGAGTTGACATGGAAAAATATCACTAACTTGGACTACTCACTGTATTAGGGTCATTACAGATAATGTATCAAAGATCCACGAATCAAGCACAATTATACTTTTCTGCCTGTCTATCATTCTTATGTCCTTCTTCGCTTTCTGGCAAGGTCAACAAGAGCATCGATCTCGGCCCACCTCAATCAAGAATTCGTTGTGGAAGAACTCGGCCTTCACCTGCATCTGCGCCAACGTATTCCTCATCTGGGGTGCCTTCAATGCCTTTGAGCAAATAGCCAACTTCTTCTTCCAAGACGTTCAGCAAATCTCCGTATTCAGTACTTCAGTACGCTTCATTCCAGTGACTGTCATGGGCGTACTCACAAGTCTGATCACTGGCATGATTTTGCATCGAGTGCGCGCTGATTCCCTGATAAACTGGGCTACTATTCTTTCATCCCTCTCGCCACTGCTCCTAGCAGTTATCAATCCCGCATGGACATATTGGCGCAGTGCATTCTTTGCCATGTGCCTCAACCCCATCGCAGCTGATGTTCTATTCACGGTTTCGACCATTCTTATTGCTGGGATGTTTCCTGCGGAAACACAGGGACTGGCTGCCGGTGTATTCAATACAGTGTCGCAGTTCGGTCGAAGCATTGGGCTGGCATTAGTGGCGTTGATCGCAAATGGTGTCACTGATAAGTACGCTCAATCGGAGAACAGGGAGAGTCCGGGGGCATTGATGGTGGGCTATCGGGCGGCCTTTTGGTTCCTTTTTGCGATGAATATTGTCAGCTTGGTGGTGAGTTCGATCGGATTGCGGAAGATCGGGAATGTGGGATAGAAAAGGTCTTCGGAGGTCTAAGTCTTGGCGGGGATTACTATCTGTGAGATTCATAGATACCAATCAGTGAATAGAACATAAAAAGATAATAATAGAGAACCAAAATCGGTATTGATGGTGACGATTATCTGAAATATATATCGTGACGCATATCCTGCCACTCGCAAGCTGTTGACAACAAACATGATTCTATTCAACCAATCGCCAATAGGAGTATTCCAGAGCAATAGCTCCCTACAACTTCGCTCTATTCTGACCTCTCTTCAACCTCAACCAATATTCATCCTTGGCCTTCAAAATCTCAAATGCTTCATCGGCCCACCTATCCTCAAACGGCGGCAACCCAGCCCCCTCACCCGCAATCTCCAACAACGCCTCGAAATACTCCCTAAAATCCGGCTTGATTTCATGGAACGCAACCCCATTCCCTTTAATCTTCAATCTCTCAAATTCCCACCGATCCTGCTCCGCTTGACTCGGCAGCTCCTTCGCCCGACCAGAGAAATACCTCGCCACCGCAACAGCCTGGTACTCGTAGACGCGGAAGCTAAGAGCAGCACGTACCTGGCCCACCAGAGCCAGTGAGGGGTCCGAGATGTGGAAGATATGCTGGTAAAATCCTGCGACGCGGTTGTTAGCCGTGACGGGGTCCGGGACGAGGAAGGGGTAGGACGCGGTGTAGCCTGTGGCGAAGATGACTCGGTCGATGGATTCGAGCTTGGTGCCGTCGGTGAAGTGAGCTGTTACGGTGTTGTTTGTGCTTCCTGATGCTGTGCTGGGTTCGAGGCGAGATAGAGTGGGCTTGCGCTCGACGTTGGGCAGGGTCCAGGCGTTCTCTAGGGCAGGGTTGATTCCGCGTTGGCTGATGTAGAGGGGTCCGGAGACAATCTCGTGGAGCTCGGTCACGAGGTCAGCGGCGGAGACGTTGCCGCCGATGATGAGCACGCGCTTGTTGACATAGTTGTCGGCGTGGCGGAAGGCTTTGGCGTGTTCGAAGGCGTGGGGGTGTGTTATGGCTATAGTGGATAGGCCTGGGATGGACGGGATGGAAGGCACGTTGTAGTGACCTGAAGCGATAATTACCGCGTCGAAGGTCTCGGTCCACCAGTAGTCTTGGGGGTGGCCGCGGTAGAGCTGGCCGGTTTTGCGGAGGGTGAGAGTCCATTCGTGGCCGGTTTTCTCGACCCGTTCGACTGTTGTGCTCAGCGAGACGAGGTGCAGGTAGGGGATGAAGAGGTCCTCGAGGTAGTTGGCCACAGTACGGAACGGACGGGAGGCATTGGATGGGCCGAAGGTTTTGATTGAGGTTGATGAGTTGATTTCGGGGAATGGTGTGTGGGTGAAAGCCATAGTTTTGGCACCGACATTGCTGTCGAGGTGGGAGTAAATCCCTGTTCTGGCACTGGTGTCTTCTGGGCGTGGAGAGGTGAACTGGGGAAGACTGGTGGGGATCTTGTTGGGACTGGGAGTTTGTGAAGGGCTATCGGGGGGATGAAACGGGTCTGGGGCTGGGTCATAGTGCCAGATGCCTCCTACACGGTCGCGCCTCTCGAAGACCCGAATTTTGTCAAAGGTATTCTCGTCATGGAGAGCTTTGACAGCGGATAGGCCTGAAGGACCTGTGCCAATGACAGCAACTCGACGATATCTAGGTGTCATGTTTGCATTTGCAGATTTATGTGACATGGTATACAGATACGACCTACAGCCCTCACATCGGTATATATACTGCCAGTTGTGCGGGGAAATCATCCCTTGGAGACATTATGTTGCGTGCTATCACCGTTGCGTGATCGACGCTAGAATGAGCCATGCAGTTGGTTTGCCGGCCGTAGGCAGATTCGAGGACGATAAGTGGTCAATGGCATACCAAATCTTTCGGCAGATGGTGTCATCGGGATTGCTATCTCTACTTTTACGCAATACCTCGACTGTGACTGATAGTCTAGAAGTGATTACTCTATACACTTTCTCTAACATAATCGGACAACGAAGCAGCGCGACAACGAGCCAGCACACCCTCACCGCTTCGAACCTCCACACAACACGTGATATTCAACCTTGCTTAATTCAGTTAAAATTAATGCTATTTAAATGCATGGAGGATCTTTCTTAAGATAGAAGACTAGTACTTGTCTGTGAGGCCTTTAATTATAGTTAATTTACTACCAAGAAGGCATGTGCCGCAGTATTTAATATTAAGATAAGTACTTTAAAAAATTATTTAAATAGGATTAAACCTTGCACTGAAATAGAGATAAATTTAAGAAAGCTATTTAATAATAATAAATTAGTATTAAAATACAAAATCCTTGAATTAGATTTATAAAATTATCTGCTTATTATTACTAAAGTACAATATCTTACAGAAATTATATTAATATTAAAATTAAAGTTAAAAAATAATACTTTTATTAGTAAATACTGGGTCAATCGATTTATTTAATATTACTAGGCTGAATTGAAGTCTAAATATACTTAATGTTTTAATTATCAACATATAAAATGCGAGGATGTTGAAGTTATAAGTTAATAATTTAAATTAATATAGAATATTATATAAAAATATAGTATTTTTGAATATGATACTTATAATATAGATAAAATAGATTTTTAAATAGAAATAGCTTTAATTATAAAGATTGTCTGCGGCACTGAATTCTATTAAATAAATACAAGATCTATATAACCTAGAAATTATGAATAAATTATTATAATTATTATAATCAGTACTAGAGGGAGTGTACTATTTCCATAGATTATTTTTATAAATAAAATATAGCAAGAGAAATAGTTTGAAGCTATTTCTAATAACTAATAAATTAATATTAGTAATAACAGATAAATAAATAATAAACTTATATTTAACTAGCTTCAATACTTTAATATTTATATAATTTTAAAAATAATAGGTTAGTATTATTTCCTTATTCTTAATAGCCATGGAAGCCATTCAACTGTTAAATTTAATTAATATTATAAAAAAAAATTAATTATTTTTTTATATATATTATCTTATTCTTTCTATAAACTTTAACTACTTAATATTACTTATTTTATACTACTAAAGACCCTGTACAGCTGTTGAATTAAAGATATAACTGATCAAGACATCTATTATATACAGAAAAAAGACTTTTTATATTATTTTAAAAAAATATATTTGAAAGTGTTTAATACAATAAATATAAAATAAGATTTTACTATAACAGGGCTTTCTTTATATAACTCTTAAAAAATATTTTAATATTTTAAAGATTTAAATTAAACACCTCAAGTACTTTTAATATTATTATTTAATTAATTTATATATCTTGGTAAAATGCCTTTGACTTTTTATTAACTGAATTATTAAAAAACAGAGATTAAAATATTACAGAAAACTGGATTATCCTTGCTTATTACTGATTAAGTACTCAAAAAGGTCTATAAAAATACAGAAATAGTAATATAAAATATTATACTACTTTAACAGAAATTGGATTAACTCCGTATAGTAGATTAATATAAAAAGAACAAGAAGAAGGCCTTAAAATATTTTTTATAAGAAAAAAATATATTAGATAACTCTACTATATATTATATTACTTAGAAAAAGAATATTAAGATTATACAGATAATAAAATATATTTAATACCAGCCATCACGCTGCAGTAACTGTAATAAGAAAGACTATAATTATCTTAAATATCCAGATAAAATCAACGCCTAGTTTGCTTGAATATAAGTTGTTTATATAGCATTTAATTACTTTAATTTGAAGCGATCGTTGCAATATGATAAGCAGAATGGTGGCTTGTTTGAAGTATTAGGGATCGCCGCACCGGCTCGTTATCACACCGCTTCGTTGTCCGATTACGTTATGAGGGTTATAGTAACCCCGTGATATCCTTCTCTGAATCCGCTGCCTAAACAAGACATATGATGCCTTAGGCAGAAATCACTCATGCTCCCCCGATATCATTGGTTCTTACTCTTGTCTTATTACTTCCGTGCGGCATAGGTAGTCGGCTGTTGCAGAAATAAGTGAATGTTCGGGCTCTGCTCCTGGCTTCTTCTCTAGCAGAGCACTGCGACCCCTCTAAACACTGAAACATCCGTAAACATAGCTTAAAAATAAGTTTATATCCGTACCAGTCTTCTCTCGCAAATGGACCCACTTGGGGGTTCGAAGACGGAAATCCGGATCAATCGAAAGACATCTGACCCCATCTCGGCATGCCGACCGGAATTTGCACAGCATGCACTTGTTCCGGGCCTTGAAATCGGCAAGCAACGATTCTAGAAGCTCATGTGTACATAAGCCCACGGCTACCGAACATGTAGACCATCACAAAAGATTGTTCGTAACACCATGGCAGATACACAGCAAATCACCGGACGCGCCTTAGTCTCTCACGGCCCCTACCAGGCCGGCGGTTGGAAGCTTCAGAACGTCTCCCTGCGACCCCTGCGAGAGAACGAACTACTTGTTGAAGTTGTTGCCTCAGGTATCTGCCAGACTGATCTGCATTTTGCTGGTTTGGAGAATGGCCATGGCGTACATTATCCGCGGGTGATGGGTCACGAAGGTATTTACTCCCTTCCTTTCTGCTAATGTCTTTGTAAGGGAACCTGATGATCTGATAAATTATTCCTCGATAGGCGCCGGATACGTTCGACAGGTCGGGCCCAGCGCCACTGCAGCCCAGGTTGGCGACCCAGTGCTCCTATCATTCTCCGCATGCCAGGCCTGCCAATGCTGTCGTCGAGGTCATCCAGCGCACTGTCACAATTTCGATCCTATTAATTTCGAGTCCACTCCAGCAAACCGCGTCTTCTGGGACGCTGATGCGGACATATCAACAGACTTTACGGCGCCGGACATTTTTGGACAGTTCTTCGGACAATCGAGCTTTGCTAGCTGGACAATAGTGGAGGAGGAATCGGTGGTGAATGTCTCCGGGCTGGTGGAGCGAAGGGAGGACCTTCAGCTGCTGGCACCACTGGGGTGTGGGGTCCAGACGGGTGCAGGTGCGGTCATCAAGGCAGCCAACGCACAGCCTGAGGATACTGTATCAGTTCTCGGTCTGGGAGGCGTTGGATTGAGTGCGGTGATGGGAGCGCGTATCGCTGGTTGCAGGACAATCATCGGTGTGGCGCGAAACCAGGCCCGTCTTGAGCTGGCGCTGGCGCTTGGGGCAACGCATGTTGTTCGAATCGATCCAAATGCTGATGAGCGTCATGTAACAGAGGCGGTTCGTGCCCTTACTGATGGCCTAGGCGCAGACGTTACGTTGGAGACTACAGGGGTGCCGAAGTTGATCGCCGAGGGCATTCGCATGACAGCTAACAAGGGGAGGATTGTTCAGCTTGGAACAGCACCAGAAAACGCAGTGCTTAGTCTTCCGGTTCATGAGTTCATGGTCGCGGGGAAGCAATATATGGGGGTAGTGGAGGGAGACGTTGTTCCTCGAGAGTTTGTGCCTGAGATGATTGAGTGGGTCAAGAAAGGACTACTACCATTGCATGAGATGGTCGGCTTTTATCAAGCGGAGGATTACAGGACAGCCATAAGCGACATGAAGAGTGGGAAGACCATCAAACCAGTTCTCTTATGGTAGATATACTCTTTAGCCTTGCTGTCCACTGTGGGCTTCCTAGTTTCCTTGAACCCAATCTATCTCATAGCAGACGAAATATACACATGATACTTCATACGTTTCCAGTATCGGCAGCCACCAAATATATACTAACTTACAGTATATAATTCACTATTGCAGCACTGGATTCCACAAATTCGTAACATATGGAACACATAGCGACTGGACTCCAATAGGTCCTCTTCCTCGCTTCCTACGAAAAGTTTAGATTCAAATGCCTCTGGATAACCCAGTTCAGTTGTTTTAGAAGTCTGCCCGTTTTCATGATTAGTTCCGTTGACGGATGTTAAATAAAGAGAGGACATAGAATTGGTCACTGCCAATTGAAGCAGGGGTGACGTGGAAGCGAATTAGAAGTAGATGTGAATAGCCATATAGTGGCATGGCCCAGCTCGGCGGGTGTCATTTCTTATATGCCATTGTGTCCAGATTTAAATGATGGCATGATCAGATAGCAAGCTCGCCTTGCTTTAACTGCCGAAAGCTTGCCACTATTTGTTCTCCACGGAAAGTTACGCCAAGCGTGTACACGGTCTTGGTATTCAGCTTGGTTTAGCCCACCGACATGGCCCACCGACCGCGGAGACGAAGCCGCAAATTTAACATCGATCTAAGCATAGAGGCTACTGTCAATTCAGAAGCCTTCCTTATCTAGTCAATGGATACAAAATCCTGGATCAGATAACTGATGTAGCTGGAGCTAATTCAGGGCTCAAGGGCCGATGATGAAGGGTCTCCTATCCTTCCGTGTCCTATCTATCAGTTCACATTCTGGTCGTTGACTCGCTTAGACCCTTGAAACACTCCGTCTGTTCGACCCACTCCTAGGAGATGCGAAGACGACTGCACAGCCAGTGTGAGGGCCCATAACGTGCGGGAAGGGTGCTTAGATACGTAATCAGGCTGCCGATCTTTCCCCGTACTCCTGGGTCTATCTGGGTGACATATTCTCCTTCGCGAGCCGATTCTGAAACTTAACGGCGAATGGACCTGAATTAGGAGTTACTCTTTGTATCCCATTATTATATAACTGGAAGCTTAGTCCTCAACAGAAGAAGTTGAACCAAATACTTTGCGGGTTTCCGACTTGTTTACGAAGTACGCTCAGTTCCCCAGGAACACCGTTTTCTAAAATCCCGTTTAGCATCATGAAATGGTCTACTATACTCTCTGGTACAGCTACAGCTTTCGCATGCGGTAGTGCAGCAGTTACACCCATCACCAATCGAACCAACACCGGGGTGGAATATGTGTCTGGCAACTATGTCCCCTTTCAGCCAGGGTTCCTAGGTACTCCTTCTGGACCCCTCCGTGAAGCAAATCAGTCGGCTAACGCACATCTACCTTTTGTAGGTGGACAATGGGAGCTTTTCTACAGCTCGAACAATGTGACTCTTCGCGGTACCGGCTACTTACGCCTTCGATGGGAGATTGAGTACTGGAAGTGAGTTCACCAAACGGCAACTCCATAATACCTATGAGACCGGATTTTACTGAGCAACAATCGCTTTACTTCCAGGCACTCCGGCTCGGCAGCCGACATCATCATGAAGCCCAATGGAACTTGGCTCCCTGTTGCCGGCGGCGGCGGATACCAGATGGGCGATAACTCTCCTGCCCCTTACTGCAACGACCCCAGTGGTAACTGCTTCAATGGCACGGGTGGCGATACCGATGGATATGTGTGGTTCACGAATGGCCACAACCCCTGGCACAATGAGTACTATTGGCTGGATGGTGAGGTATATCTCCAGACGCAAGAGGGTCCTGGGGACTATAATGTCGGTGTTAGTCCAATCAGTGAGTCAATCAGTTCATTCCACGGTATATTTAGAGAGGCTACACAAGATTCTGATCACCCATCACTATCACAGCGATCGACGATATCTTGAGCGACATCAACACGAACGTCAGCGCTGCTTATCACTACGGTGTCTCATTTGATCCCAAGGAGGGGGCTTGTCCGTGCTCAATTAGCCCCGTCTCATCAACACCAGTTGCATCTACATCTGCAACTCCCTATGTCGCTTAGGCTCACGGAATCTGAAATGCCCCTGTGTCTGCAGTCCTTGTTTCTGTAGCCTCTGCACCTGTTACGGAGGTATGCAACCGGCTTTGACCTATACGGTCAATGAGAACACTAAGCAAGAGAATGGTGCTGTTCTTGAATGCGGGCCCAATCAAGCGGGCCAGGGTCACGACATGTTCACTGTTATTTGTTGACCACCGAATGGGCTGGCCCCCTTTCCTTCGGCAAATAATACGATGTCTTTGCCTCATATTTTCGCGCCTTTCATTACTCTTAGGGCTGCAAGCATGCGTGAAAAAACCACTCGTAGAAGAAGGAGACTCCTCTAGTCAATATTATAGTATATTAAATTATTCTTCATCCCTCTCCCCCTTAACATCTAAACCCCTCTACCACTATACCCACCACCAATATTTCATAAGAAATCCGACATGCTGTTGAATCAAGTCCAGTCCTGCTCGACTAAAACCCCCAAACGCCTCGCTGAAAGGCAGCATAAGTTGTTGAAAACGCTAAAATGATATTATACAAGTTAGTAAAATTAAGCCGTCTGCGACTCGGCCTCGCCATCATCGACAGTCTTGGCAGTATCCTCCGCACGAACTTCCACTTCATGGGTATGCTCGAGCTCGGAAATGATGATCCACGTGGGGATCACGCAGAGCAAGGTGATGCCGAAGTTGAGGCCGATGCTGACGAAGTGGTTGGCGTTGCCTTCGGATTGCATACTAGATGAGGTTCGTTAGTTAGCTGGTTATACTTTTCGTACATACGGGAAAGGTATGGGACTCACGCCCAGGCAACAGTCTGTCCCAGAGCCTCGAATCCACGGAGGATACCGCAGTGGTGAGACAGGGACGAAAGGTCGGTGGTGTACTGCCCGACAAGCCAGTAGAGGAACTGTTGGAAAGCCTGGCCACCAAAGGACCAGAAGAAAACAAGAGCGTATGTCTTGCCGAACCCGCCCTTAAACCAGTCAAAGACTGGGTCCGTGTATTCGTAGTAGAACTGGTACTGCAGGATGGTGGCCCAGATCCAGGTGCCTATGAGCACGAAGATGAGTGAGGCGAAGGCAATGCGGGCCCGCGTCTTGATGTGGATAGACTGCTTGTCCAGCAAGGTGGCAATCAGGAAGGAAGACGTAATGCCGGCGAAGTTGGTGAAAAATGAGGAGAAAGCCCGGGAGCGAACAGTAAAGTAGTCGGTTAGCCAGGTGCTCTGGAAGCCGTTGTAGAAGTAGCTGATAAAGAAGGCCGGCATCAGCATGGCAATACGGCGGGTGAAGAGCAGCGAGATGACGGCTTTGAATTCGGCCATCCACGTGGCTTGCGTGTGAACGACAACCAGAGTCCGGTCTTTACGTTGGACTTTCTCTGCTGGGCTTAGACATAAACCGATCGGAAGTCCGAGGCACATGAGCACGATGAAGACGATGTACGTGCTTGCACTGACGGTTCCCTTGCCGGAGTTTTGAGCATTAAGGCCCAGTTCGATTGCGCCACCGACGATAGGGCCTGCAGCTTTGGCGGTTTGCCAAATCGCTAGAGAAGCTGTCAGATGCGCATGACCAGGACCAAATTCAGAATCTCAGTTACTCACCTAGGTAGAATGCTCTGTCCTTGGGACTAGGGTACCCAATAATGATGGCCGCTTCGGCAGCCCAGAAGAAACCAGCCGAGATACCGCACAAAGCACTTCCAAATAGCAGAAACCAAGTCGTCGGCGAATAGTTGTTCGTATACAGACCGGCACCGTATATAGGGTAACCGATGGCGCCCAGCGCCAGGCCATAGCGAAGCCCGATACGGTTGTTAATGGCGCCGGCAGCGATACAAACCACAGCGAACAGTCCATACAGCAGGGCATTCGCAGCTGAGACAGCATACGGCTCTGCAGCACCTCCAGCTCCCAAATTGTTCAAGGCATCCCACATGCCCGGAGCAGTGAAGGAAACACCACTGGCAATGGCGATCTGGAAGGGGATCGACCGGACCACCGACAGGAAGCGGTTAGTCGGCTGGGGTGAGGCCATGGTGATGGAACCTTTAGAAGGGCACTCGCCACGTGGTTGATCTGATCTGATAACTGAGAAGAAGGAAGTCTCGATATTTGGGCAAAATTTGGGGTTGGGGATGAACGAGGAGAATTCGTATTGTGGGTGGGGCTGTGGATATTGCGTGATTGGATTCAATGCCAAGTCATGACAAATGGAAATGGGAATATGGCGACATCGTGTCGGTATTGTCAACCTGTTGCTCGAGAGTCCAAGTTATGCTTGTCTACGTTGTACGTTGTAGTTGTTTCCCATGATATCACACGGCGTGGGATCAGTCGCCGCATCGGTGCCCTTGGGGGCGATGTTCAGGATCTAACTAAGGGTTTCTAGCTTTCGGGGCTCCACAATGGCCTGTCACCCACTCTTCACCACCTAAAAGATAGGCGCACGCCAGAGAATTTAAGACATCATTATCGTTGGAGCCCATTGTCATATACTTGCTCAGTCTGGGCATGGAAAATTTGAGTCATAAATATTGGCGGTAACAAATGGGGCAGAGATTTCAAATGGACGGGCGGAAGTTCTTGGCAAGTCGTCGGCATTTGGACGGTTCCTGAGACTAGGCCATCGGGATCCCGGTCATAAGCGAGGCCACGCCCTTCGGACCCAGAACATCCTCAAGGTGCAGCCAAGACGTCACCAGCCCGTCCGATTCGCCCGCATAATCAGCAATCTCATCTTGAATGGGCTTTTTGTTCTTGCAAAACACCCTCAGCTCCTTGCATGCCACATCACCATTTTTCTTCAGGTATTCACGCATGACGTCGCCAGAGCTCATAACAATACGACTCACTAACTCCACGTCCCCTGATCCAAGTCCCATTGAACGTGCGTTTTGCGCCGAGCCTCGCGCGACATGGTGGATGAGGAGGACAATATTGGAGATGAAGGACTCATCAGGCATGTACCCGGCTGTAAAATACTGAACAAATTTGTGATGCTCTCTCTCTCGGAATAAGTCGATGGAACGTTTGTGCATGCCGAAGTAGTTGTGCAAGATGACAGGCTCCTCTCCGTAAAGCTTGGTCTTCAAAAAGGCTAAAAGATGGAGTGTGTCGATATTGCGGGTAGTAGACCACTTCTGGGCAATCGAGAGCTCCGCATTAGCTCTGTTGAGCTCCTTGCAAGATGAGGATTCAAGCTTGGACCTTTGTGAGAGCTCGTTCAGGATTCGGTCAATGTTGACGATCCCGACATCTTCCGCGAGACACTCAAAGTACTTGAGGGAGAACAAGTTCGCAACTGCAGTGGGGGGCTTGAGCAAGCGCGGGTTTCTTGCCATCCGGTTTATGAAAGGTTTTACTCCGGGAATCGCGCGCAAAATTGGCAGCAGATGAGATACCCGTGGCCAATTCCAGCCTGTTGAGCTATTCACCGGCGTTCTTGGGCCGCGAACCGATGAAGATATGAGACTCGCCATGGATCTTGATAAAAGCATCCATATCGGGCCATCTCACGTCCTCGTGCGTAGCATAACTGATAACGAGATTGTGCAAGAAAGCCAGCTGTTGGACGTCATACCATTGGGTGACAAGCTGCTGGCTCACACGTTGCATTCTAACATAACATTGAGGTGGAATAAAATCAGTCCGCAGAGGATAGAGTGCTGCGATAAAAGTGCATGCTTCTCAGGCGGTGATCCGGTTTTCTTGAGGCCAGACAGGACCCGAAAATTGAGGAACGCGTCTTGTATAATCCAGGAGTCCAGAGTAGAACTGATACCTCGAATCTCCTCGTCGCCCTCCTTTGGTCAAAATTTGGGCTGGGGGGTGTGTTTTGGACAGCTTTAGGTAGTCATCAATGACCTTCTGGATGCGCAGTCCCGACATCCGAAGGTCTCCAAAGGCACTCAGGGGATTGTGTCGCATGATGTAATGGATGTCGAGGAAGATCTGGGAGGCAAAGCATAACCATAGAGTAACATTTTTGTTCTTGGAAAATTCAAAAAGTCCTTACGTGATAGCATCCGAAGTAGGCGTATTTAATCTGAATGTGTCAAATATGCAGTGATCTTGTCTTCGTTGAACTTTTGGCCCACAGACATTCGCTCCTTGTCCGCCTTTGGATTATAGGTACCGAAATAGCCCTTTTTGAAGACTGGCTGATGATTGTCGTGGAGGACATTAGCAATGGCGTCAAGCAGAACCTTGGTAAACACCAATCGGCCACATCAGCCATATTCTTGTTGTATGGAAGGCCAACCTCCGTGGATGGAGCTGCGGAGACGTCCCGGTTTATCATGGAGAGATTGTAAACAAGTGTCTGAACATCATTTCTCGCCGGCGGGCGAGTAGAAAGCCAGTCAGCCTCTACCTCCTTCACCATATCTCGGGCAAGGTGCAAAGCACTGTCCGTCATGAGAACGGCGTTCATAAGGTCGATTCTCTTATCCCGGTAGTCCGACCAGGTGATGGAAATAAATTTCCGCATGTTGTCCAAGTTTGCAGTAGACACAGGGTCTTGAAGAACAAGTGATCAAGATAGGAGTCGGCCGCCTCGTTTTCGTCCTCCACAACCGTGACCTTGACAACCTTCTATGATGCTGCAAGCGCTGATTGAGTCTCTGGGTTTTCCTCGGGTTCCTCCACCATGAACAGCAAACTTGTTTAGGAATCTGTCGGCATCAGCATCAGCATCTTAAACCTCAGGCATTGATTGTGACTGTTTAGCATCTGTCCTAAAGGGCTGAGCGGTCTTCCATTCAAGGGTGTCGCAAATTTGCTCCAGCGCAGTGATAAAATGAGCATGGCGCTTATTATTAGCGATGTCGCCACGACCCAAGAACCATGAAGTGACCGTTTCCCTCAAATGTATGGCGCGATTGGCAATGGTGAGGACTGGTTTCAGCACAGTCAGAGAGGAACTGGCAACTACCTCGGCGAACTTTTATAGGTCTTTGGTAGTAGCAGTGTCTTGAATTAGATGTTCGTTTGAGCCATCCGTTTTTACCTTTACGCTTACTCTTGTTCGTCGTAGCAATGGTAGCAGAAAGGGTAGGCTGATAGCCACATTTGTTGGCAGTCTCTAGTAGCCATGTTGCGAAGGTATCGGTATCTGCTTTGTAGCGAACGTAGCTACTCTGCAGGAATCCAGGTAGCATAATGGCAATTGTTGATGGGCCGAGACTAGAATAGTAGCGGCTATTTGATCGAGGAGACTAGCTCTAGACCCAATGAGAAGAAAGGAATGGAGACGAAGAATGCTTCAGATCCCTGGATTTGGAAGTTTGTGTGGATCTTTGTTTGCTTATGTCATCGCTGTGACCTACACGACGGTCACATGATTGAAGCTACCCCCGAACTAACCGAAACGGGAAAGACCCCCCTTGCGCTTGAATCAATCTTTCGCAAGCTTGACTTCTCCAAGAATTCATCCAATATCGATATAAATGGTATCTGACGATTGAGCAGCAGTTCAACCCACTCTTTTTGTCAAGATGCATCAGCGAAGTGGTCCAAGCGCCGCCCGGTTCGAGTTGGATCGCGCTAACGCGAGAGCACCAACCTTAGCCTCTAGTCGACTCCGTACTAATAAGTACTCCGTAGATTGTCAGATGGCGACCAACACAATCTTCGGCGGCTTTGGACTGAAATGCACATACAGCTGGCTCTCGAGACACTGCGTAAGATGACTAGAGAAGACCCGCAAGTCTATTATACTACTTGTCATGCACTTTAGGATCATGTACTCACATGACCACATTATGAGAGCAAAGTAACATACCATCAAGATGGACGTATGCATAGAAGACCGACCGTCAAAAAAAACACAACATTTTTCTTGGCAATTGAATGCCGGTGACAAGCCGATAGACTACCAAGAAATGCTTGGCGCCAGGATTCTAGCCGCTCCCTGCATTGACATAACGTGGGCCGTATGTATATCTGGGGTTTGCTGGAGGTGAAATCCAACTCTTAAGTGGTGTCCTGGATGTTACACCGTGACGTTCCACCAAATGTACATATGGTTTCATTTGCTTTATCGATGACGTTATTTGTTGGGTTTTCCCTAATAAAGGGGGTGAAAAATATAAAACAAAAACATACAACAGAAGGGATTCGCTGGTGGTCACCCACCCAACTACTAACCTCCCGGCGTGTGGCTTAAGTACGGCTGAGCGGACGGGAAGCCCTGTTTTCCACACCCTGTGGTCGTATGTACTTGTCTTTACTCGGGCTCGAGTAATATAGTATCCAGGTAGAGTTTACTGCTTGAATGCGTTGCTAATGATCGCGGAGCCCGTGAAGTAGATAAATACGGGAAGCCGAATTTAAGTCACCATAATGAACCTTGACACCAACGATGGCAACCGCTTCTACGAACATTTTCCAATGATTGCCAAGAGCATCGTACTACTAGTCATGGACACAGAAATTCAAATTTTGCATTACCACAAAAGTGGTGGTGGTGGACAAAGCAGAACTACTACTGTTGGCGGTTATATATAGTATCAGTTGGGCCAAGGCCGGAACTAAGAATGAAGAGTGTACTAAACTCTTATCTCGATGCCACCCTCTCAACACGAGCATGAAATCAGAATCATGATCGACGAACAGGCAATTTGTTCTCATTGCCGAGTCAATTTAGGAACAGACAAATTGAGCATCATGAGTCGCCAAGAGATGAAATAGGTTAGAAGTATGCAATTGTACAAAATGCTGAAACACGAAACCAACGCCAATCCCAGATGTGAGCTACTAATTTTTACTCCTCATGAAATCCTATACGCCTGCATCTCGCCCATTTTGTTTCTGCTTTTTCTTCTCTTTAGCCTCCGCATCGGCCTGTTTCCACGAGCCCGCGTAGTGATGCGTAACCAGCGCATCTCCTTGATCCTGGGGATATCCGTTCTGGGACGCCGCAAAGGACACACCAGGCATGATAAGGACATCTCCAATGAGCTTAGGCTTCTTGATCCCATGGAAGTCGCGATCATCAACGGTCCGACCCAGCAGCTGCTTGAGGCTGTCAAGGATTGCTATTGTCATGATCTTGGGCCCCGTCACATTAACAACATCGATGGGCAGCATTTCTAACGTCAGGTCTTTCACCTGCACCTTATTCATTGAGGCGATCTCCTTGATCTGGGCCACAACAGAGTCCACCACCACCTGGAGGACGCGTGATGAGCGGGGTGCCGCGAAGACCCAGTTGCAGAACTGCGATGCGACTTCCGTTCCTTCTCCGCGCCATTCAAAATCAAACTCCAAGCCCACGATCATCTCGATCTTTGCATTCTTGTATTCGGTCGGAACCCAATCAGCCACGGGCTTATCGCAGGTAACGTCCAGATCACTCCAGACACCCCCCTCCGCGAGCACGAGCAGGTATCGCAGGAGATCCGCCCGCAGGATCGGGATAGGGAGAGTCTCGAAGACCTCGATAATATCTGGTCGCGAGGCATAATGATTACGAACGAAGGTTGCAGCGGAGGCATCGGTCAAGAGCTCATATCTGAAGGACGGGTTCCTTTCGAGCCAGCTGCTGATCCATTCGTCTTGGTCGTCGCTCAGGTGGGGATCCTTGGCGGATTGCCAAAGCTTGTCGGTAATACCGAAGATAGCATCACCACCAGCAACGTCAGCAATCGGTTTCGAGGTGGATGGATTGCTGGTAGATACTGGCGGTTTAGGGCGCGATGCTTCTTCTTTTGGTGGGTCGACTGGTTGTGGTACCTGAGATACCAGATCGGACTGTGACGTTGTCGGGGCTTGGGATTGCTGACGGAGTCGGCCCGGCAGTGGGTCCCACGTCAGGAAGAGCAGGCAGCTGAACACGAGCAGCGGGATCGTCAAGATAACAAAGCGCCCATAGCGCGAAGATTTTAGGGTGGAAGGGAGCATCGGTGGTGGGCGAGAAGAGGAGCTTTCATGGGGATGGGTTTTTAGGTGATGAGAGTTGAGAAATAATCTCGGCGCTCCAGGCCCCAGCGGAGAGCGTCCATCTGTTTAAAAACAAGGTGGGATTACTATCATTGCCACGGTTCGAGGATCGCTCCATGATGGCTTAGCGCGGGCGCTAACAGTCAGGGAAATTGAGTTTGTGCTCCCACCAGGGTCATCAACGGTTTGTCTTGATTGGAGGGCAAAAAGATCCTTAGTCTTGCTAGTCCCGGGTGTCACCGGAGACGTGTCGCGAGGCTTTTAATTTACTTGAGAGGCACCGGCCCACCGCTAGTTGAATTGGTCAGAATCCTGGAAAGCCTGTAGCCTGGCTGGATAGTTAAAATGCCATACCCTTGAGTCGTTCGAGCCTTAAAGTGTGGCTGTATCACGGCCACGCGAGGTTTCGCTGCGCTAAGGCTCTGTTAGTCGACATTGGAACACTAGTGGTGCCTTTTAGCGATGTTGGACAAGGAACGAATACATAAGCGCAATATCCGCACAGGAAAATGAATAACCCGTTATATCTGGTAGTCTTCGTTTGGGCCCAGGCACATCTTCCATACGTGAGGTGAGGGTATCCAAGGGTCTAGTTGAATCGTCGGGTCTGTGAAATGATGGTGCGACTCTTGATACCTGAAGTCCCTGCGGCATGGCAGGTACTCTCCTGGGTGATGCTGCTCTCCCTCCCGGGAAGCCTTGGTCAGACAACCACAGCGTTGAATACTTCTATTCAGGACAGTCCACATTTTATGGGATGGTATCTGGGAACGACCAGTCAGTACTCATTCGCCACCCTGGTGCTATTCTGTTTGCTCTGAACATCATCGCTTACCCTGACCGTCAACTGCAGCCCAAGCCCTAACTGATGCGGGTACTTGGTCGACCTCCGGACAATATGCAGCCGGCTGCACCGCTTCTGTCACCTGTTCCTGGGCTACCGCATGTAGTGGGAACATACTTTACTACGATGTCGACAATAAGACCCTGGACTGGTATGTCTGAGATCATTAAATTTATACGTCGAGACACGCTGTCGCTAAAACACAACTGGACTTTGTGTCTGACTAGCGGTTCCGAATCTATGTCATGCCAAACCATGACAATCTATCAATCCGAGCCCTACGCTACCCCATCCGCATACAACCTCTTCTGCGCTGACTTTTGGTCTGCGTACACAATCTATCGAGAGCTGCCCGCAACGACAACCTCAACCACATCAGCTACCTCAGGTACACCCAATCCCACCCTGCCTCTTAGATGCACGAAGACTTACTGGAACTTTGCCACATAGATTCCACAGCCAGTGCAACCACCGCACCGATCACTTCCATGGCTACACAAACCTCTTCCGCGACCCAAACCTCGACCGCTTCACCGTCTTCAACACACACCTCTTCTTCCGGAAAGAGTCAAGCGTGGATTGCGGGTCCTGTAATCGGCGCTGTGGTAGGCGTTGGTGCTATTGCAGCCGCCGTGATCTTCTTCCTACGCCGCCGGATAACCCGAGGCCCTCAGGCCATGGAGTACCAAAGTGTCTCTCCGGGAGCGCGGACGGTTTCCGAGCTACCTACAGAAAGCCTCACGGGGATGGTGCACGAAATGCCCTCTACCTCCACAAGCCGGGTGGGGCCATACGAGCTGAGCTGAAACTGGCATAATAATAACGTTAATTATAATAATCTCAAGAAATATAGTAGTAATGATGAGTCCCTGTACATGACTTCAATGGCTTTTTGTGTGTGATCTTTTTCTCGGATCCTGGTCGACGCCACCTAACAAACCTGAGACCTACTACACCTCCCTTACTATTGACATGTAAATCTTCAGCCCAGAGCTGCACAAAGCGCTTATATATCCGTGATTCTATATTAGCCGTGTTATACTGCTTCTCATATTGCTGGTGTGGCATGTACAGAGGTGCGATCACGTCTTGGTCCACTTCTACCCTTTCAGTGCAACAAGACGCTTATGACCATATGGCCACGCTCTACGATACCCCTAGCACTTGTACGTGCAGTGTCGTGGCATCTTTATTTACTTCGAATATATTATTGCGTCGTAGTCATGCAGGTACTTGAATGTCGCATAAGAATGGTCTAACAAGCTATATAAGTAGTAAGACTCATATGTGATTGGATGGCCAAGAAAATTCCCCAGTGATTCAATAACTGAACTGCTTCCGCGCACAAAAGGCCGAGCGAATAAACATCGCTAACCGGACAGACAGGGATGTAGATTCATGTTCTGACCAGGGGGTGTTCAACACGGCCGATAGACACTAGACACTTACAGCGGACAATGTAATAAGCGGCGACCAACAATAAAATATAAGGGGTCACGATAGGGAACGTAAAATTAACACGAGGTCCACGTTCCACGCTAAACGTTGTGTTGCCCAAGCCAAATTTTGGGCGAGTCATAATTAGCCCGCGCTAGTGCTTACGCCTCCAATCCCTCCGAGCTTCAGCCCTGGCTGCTGATAACGTCGATGGAACGTCCGATTCTAGGCTTCAAACAGGCTGAGCCATGCTCTCTAACGCTTAGTGGCTGTACCTGCAAAAAATAGACTAAATATATCAAAATTTTCGCGGCTATATTATGAGTGTTGGGGTTCGATCAGTTGTTCGTTGGTTGTGGGACCAACGCCCTGTCCGTCAAGCTATACTGTAAACAGAATGATTCTTTCATGGGGGCTACTATGGCGCTTGCGCTAAATTTATAATAAACAGCGATCGACAGTGTAACCAGCAACCCTTATTCGTACGCTGGGCCAATTGGCTAAATTAGAGGAGATAAGACCTCTCTTGTTTTTTCTTTCTTTTTCCGCCCCACGGAAATATGGCAGTTGGCACCTGAATACATTTTCCATGCTCATATATATGCAAATCACTCACTCAGTTATGATCATATATTATAAAGGTCCAAAGCATCAATATTTTCCTCGCACATGGCCACAATCTCCACCTATTAATTTAAACCGCCTCTTTGATAGGCCATATAGGCTAAACTGTGCAGAAACTTTCGACATTATTATATAATAAGATGAACTTCATATTTCGGAAACCTCGTGTCGTGCAGAAAGGAAAAGATGTCAAATATATTGCCTTGTTATAAGAAAATATCTATATTTTCATTTACCGCCATATAGTTTAGTATGAGAGGAAACCCCAGCAATTACAACTATGCTAAAGTCGGAAATCAAGTTCTGTTAGATTCTTTTGTTATGATGACTAAAGGGTTAAGACTCTTGTATATATACTAGTTCTTGTTTAAGGGCGGCCTGTGG